TCCTATGTTTTCTTCTAGGAGTTTTATAGTTTTAGCTCTTACATTTAAGTCTTTAATCCATTTTTAGTCGACTTTTATATATGGTGTTAGGTAAGGGTCCAACTTCATTCTTTTGCATATGGATATCCAGTTTTCTCAGCTCCATTTATTGAAAAGATTGTATTTCCCCATTGAATGGTCTTGACACCATTGCCAAAAGTTATTTGACCTTATATGTGAGGCTTTATTTCTTGGCTGTGTATTTTCTTCTGCTGCTCTTCATGTCTGTCTTTATGCCAGTACCGCACTGTTTTGGTTACTGTAGCTTTGCAGCAATTTTTGAAATCAGGTAGCGTGAGACCTCCAACTTTGTTCTTCTTTATCAAGAATTTTTCAGCTATTCAGGGCTCTTTTGAGATTCTGTATGAATTTTAGGATGGATTTTTCTATTTCTGCAAAAATCACTGTTGGGATTTTGATAGAGTTAGATCACTTTGGGTGGGTAGTATTGAAATCTTAACAATATTAAGTCTTCTCATCTGTGAACATAGGATTTCTTTCCAGTTATTGGTTCTTCTTTAATTGTTTCAGCAGTGTGTTGTAGTTTTTAGTGCACAAGTCTCTGCCTCCTAGTTAAGTTATTCCTAAATGTTCTTCTTCATGATATTGTAAGTGGAATTATTTTTTAAATTTCTTTTTTTGGATTATTCATTTTTAGTATATAGAAAAACAGCTGATTTTTGTGTGTTGATTTTGTATCCTAAACTTTCCTAAATTTTTTATTAGTTATAACAGTATTTTGTACAATCTTTAGGAATTTATACATATAAGATCATTTTGTCAGTGAACAGAGATAATTTTACTTTTTTTTTCCAGTTTGGTTGCCCTTTATTACTTTTATTTTTTGCCTTATTTTTCTAGCTAGGACTTCCAGTACTATATTGAGTAGAAATGGCGGAAGTGGGCATCCTTGTCTTGTTTCTGATCTTAGTGGAAATGCTTTCAGTCTTTTTCCATCAAGTTTGACGTTAGCTGTAGTCTTTTTTATATGGCCTTTATTATGCTGAGGTAATTTCTTTTTATTCTTAGTCTTTTGAGTGTTTTTATCATGAAAGGGTGTTGAATTTTCTTAAATGCTTTTTCTGCATCCATTGAAATGATCATGTGGGTTTTTTTCTCTTCACTCTGTTAACGTGGTGTGTACTACATTAATCTATGTTTGTATGTTGAACCATCCTTGCATTCTAGGAATAAATCCCACTTGATCATAGTGTATAATAGTTTTAATACTCTGTTGAATTCCTATTGCTAGTATTTATTTTGTCGAGGATTTTTCAGTCAATATTTATGAGGGATATTGGTCCATTGTTTTCTTGTGATTTTTTGGCTTTGGTATCAGGGCAATGGTAGTCTCATAGAATGAATTTGGAAGTGTTCCCTCTTCAAATTTTGGGGAGAGTTTGAGGAGGATTGGTGTTCACTCTTCTTTATATGTTCAGGAGCATTCACCAGTGAAGCCATCTGGTCCTGGGCTTTTCTTCATTGGGAGGTTTTTGATTACTGAGTGAGTCTCCTTACCAGTTACAGGTGTATTCACCTTTTCTACTCATTCATGATTCAGTCTTAGTAGGTTCCATGTTTCTAGGGATTTATCAGTTTTATCTAGGTTATCCAATTTGTTAGTGTTAGAGTGTTCAGAGTACTGTCTTGTAATATTTCTGTAGAAACAGTAGTAATGTTGCCTCTTTCATTTCTGATCTTAGTTATTTGAGTCTTCTCTATTTTTTTCTTAGTCAATCTAGCTAAAGGTATGTCGATTTTGTAGATCTTTTCAAAGAACCAACTCCTGGTTTTGTTAATTTTCTATATTGTTTTTCTATTCTCTGTTTTGTTTATCTCTGCTCTTATTTCCTCTCTTTTGCTAGCTTTGAGTTTAGTTTGTTCTTTTTCTAGTTAAGGTGTACAGTTAGGTTGTTGATTTAAGGTCTTTCTTCTCTTTTAATGTAAACATCTATAGCTGTAAGTTTTTCTCTTGTCACTACTTTCACTGCATCCCATAAGGTTTGGTATGTCGTGTTCTCATTTGCACTTGTCAAGATATTCTGTGATCTCCCTTGTGACTTCTTCTTTGACTTATTGTTTAAGAGTGTGATGTTTAATTTCCACATATTTGTGAATTTTCTAGTTTTCCTTGTGCTCTGATTTCTAGTTTCATTCTACTGTGATAAGAAAAGATACTTTATATATTTTAATCTTTTTATTAAGACTTCTTTTGTGACCTTGGCTATGATGTATCATGGAGAATGTTCCATGTGTACTTGAGAAGAATGTGTATTCTACGTTTTTTGGGTGGAGTGTTATGTAATGTGTCTGTTAGGTCCAATTGGTCTCTTGTGTTCTTTCAGCCCTCTGTTTCCTAACTGGTCTTCTATCTGGTTGTTCTATCCATTTTTGGAAGTGGAACATTAAAGTCTTCTACTATAATTTCGTTCTATCAGTTTCTTTCTTCAGTTTGGTTAGTGTTTGCTTCATATATTTAGAAGCTCTGAGGTTTGGTGGATATATTTTTATGATTGTTATGTCTTCTTGGTAAATTGACATACAATGTCCTTTTAACATATAATGTGCTTTTTGGACTTCCCTGGTGGTGCAGTGGTTAAGAATCTGCCTGCCAATGCAGGGGACATGGGTTTGATCCGTGGGCTGGGTAGATCCCACAAGCAGTGGAGCAACTAAGCCCCTCTGCCACAACTCTCAAGCCTGTGCTCTAGAGCCACAACTACTGAGCCCACGTGCCACGACTACTGAAGCCTGTGCAAGCTAGAGTTCGCATGCCTCAACTACTCAGCCTTCATGCTCTAGGGCCCATGGGCTACAACTACTGAGCCTGTGTGCTGCAACTACTGAGGTCCATGTGCCTAGAGCCCGTGCTCTGCAACAAGAGAAGCCACCACAATGAGAAGCCCACACACCACAATGAAGAGTAGCGCCTACTCGCCGCAGCTAGAGAAAGCGCGTGCACAGCAACAAAGACCCAACGCAGCCCAAAAAATATATATATATATAATAATAATAAACTATATAATGTCCTTTTTAGTCTCTTATACCAGTTTTGGCGTAAGGTCTGTTTTGTTTATATTAGTATAAGCATTCCAGCTCTCTTTTGGTTACTATCTGCTTGGCAAGTGTTTTCCATCCTTTCACTTTCAGCCTATGTGTGTCCTTAGCTCTAAAGTGAGTCTCTTCTAGACAGCATAATGTTCTCATAAGCATAATGTTCATGTTCTGATAAAACTCAGAATGTTTTGTCCATTCTGTCAGTCTATGTCTGTTGTTTGGGGAGTTTAACCCATTTACGTTTAAAGTAATTATTGTTAGGGAAGGACTTGCTTTTGCCATTTTGGTATTTGTTTTCTGCATAGCTTGTAGTTTTTGGCCCTCATTTCCTCTCTTACTGTCTTTGTTTATGTTCAGTTGATTTTTTGTAATGATACTTTTTGACTCTCTTCCTGTTTCCCTTGTGTATATTTTGTAGATATTTTTGTGGTTACCATTGGAATTACATATACCATCCTAAATATATAATCTATTTTAAACTGATAGCAGTTTAACTTCCATCACATACAAAAACTTTACTCCTTTACAGTTCTGACCCCTCCCCCTTCATCCCTTCATGTTATGTCACAGATTACATCTTTATGTATTGTGTATCCATAGACTTACAGTTGTTTTCTGACTTAGGTCTTTTAAATCCAATAGAAGAGTAAAAAATGTAATTATAAGCTAAAATTACAGTAATACTGGTCTGTATGTTTGTATGTTTACCTTTATGTGCGAACTTCGTATTTTCATATGGCTTTGCATTCCTGTCCAGCTGCTTTCATTTCAACTTGAAGGGCTGCCTATAGCATTTCTTGCAAGACAGGTCTAGTATTAATGTGCTCCCTCAACTTTTGTTTATCTGAGAAAATCTTAGCTTCTCCCTCATTTTTGAAGGACTTTTTTTTTTTTGTTTTTTGGCCAGATATAGAATTCTTGATTGGTAGTTGTTTTTTTTGTTTTTTGTTTTTTTCTTTCAGAACTTTAAATATATTATCCAGCTCTCTCTGGCCTATGAGGTTTCTACTGAGAAATCCACTTATAACCTTAATGAGGATCACTTGTAGGTGACGAGCTGCTGTTCTCTTGCTACTTTCAAGATTCTCTCTTTGCCTTTGGTTTTTGACGTTTTGATTGTAATGTGTCTTGGTGTGAGTCTTTTTGTGTTTATCCTTCTTGGGGCTTCTTAAAATTTATTTTATTTATTTATTTATTTTTGGCTGCGTTGGGTCTTCATTGCTGTGCGTGGGCTTTCTCTAGTTGCAGTGAGCAGGGGCTACTCTTGTTGCGGTGCGCAGGCTTCTCATTGTGGTGGCTTCTCTTGTTGTGGAGCACGGGCTCTAGGCACTCGGGCTTCAGTAGTTGTGGGACGTGGGCTCAGTAGTTGTGGTTTGCAGGCTCAGTAGTTGTGGCACATGGGCTTAGTTGCTCCACGGCATGTGGGATCTTCCTGGACCAGGGATTAAACCTGTGTCCCTTGCATTGGCAGGTGGATTCTTAACCACGATGCTGCCAGGGAAGTCCCCTTCTTGGGTTTTTTTGAGCTTCTTGTATGTATATATTCATGTCTTTCCTCAAATTTGGAGAGTTTTGGGGCATTATTTCTTCAAATAAGCTCTCTGCCCCATTTCTTCTTCTGTGGCTTCCATAATGTGTATATTGTGTAATGGTGTCCCTCAAGTCACTTCCTCCATGTTCATTTTTCTTCTTTCCTTTTCCTCCTCAGACCTAATCTTTTCAAATGGCCTGTCTTGAAGTTTGGTGATTCTTTCTTCTCTCTGGTTGAGCCTGCTCTTGAATTCCTCTAGTGAATTTTATAATTCATTGATTGCCTTTTTCACCTTCAGAGTTTCTGTTTGGTTATTTTTATCTCTTTGCTGATATTTTCATTTTATTCATATATCATTTTCCTGATTTCCTTTAGCTCTTTGTGTTTTCCTCTCTGAGCATATTTAAGACAGTTGTTTTCAAGTCTTTGTCTAGTAAGAATGAAGTCTATATGTGTTCAGGGACATTTTTGGAGATTCATTTTTTCCTTTGAGTGGGCCATTTTTTCCGTTTCTTTGTATGCATGTGATCTTTTCTTGAAAATTTGGCATTATAAATACGGCCACCTCTCCCAGTCTTCACAGACTGGCTCCAAGTTAGGGAAGACTTGCCCTAACCAGTGCAGCGTGGAGGCCTAAGCTCTTTGGAGGCCTTTTCTGGACATTTTCCCTGGGTCTGTATGGGTGCTTTTCACTCAGTCTCAGTTAGGCTTCACCGAGACCAGTCCTTCAGGCAGCCCTCACGTGGGGGCGAGGGCCTCTCTGCTCTCTGCACATTGTGAAAGAGACCGGGGGCCCAGGCTGCTGCTCCCCTCTTACTGTGCTGTGCAGCACTGGGGAGATGGAAAGCGCCACAGAGTTCTCTGCCATTTAAATGCGGCTCTTTCTTCACTGAGCATTCCCTTGGTTGCTGTAGATCTCTGCCCAGTTCCCAGAGCTTCACTGAGTTATCTTACTTTGACATCATTTAGCTCCTTGGATTTAGATTGCAATTTTCCGTCAAATTTGGGATATTTTTGTGTATCTCTTCAAATGTTTCTTCTGCCCTTTTCTTTCTGTCTCTTACTGGTTTTCACACCACGCATACATTGTGCTTAATGCGGTCCCATGTTTCTCTAAGGTTCTGTCCTTTTTCTGTATCTCTTCTCTCTGTGGCTTGAGGCTGCATAATCTCCACTGACCTGTCCTCAGCTTTGCTAATTCTGCCAGTTCAAGTCTGGTGTTGAGATACTATAGTGGAATTTGATTTTAGTTATTGTACTTTCCCATAACTTCCAGTTGGTTCCTTTATATAATTTCTGTCTCCTTATTGATATTTTCTACTGGATGAGACATTAGCATCATGCCTTCCTTCATATCTCCTGAAGCACGCTTTTCTCTAGTTCCCTGAATGTAGGTACAGTGGCTGCTTTGCTGGTTCATCATGCTATCTGGGACCTCTCAGGCAGGTTCTCTCGCCTGCTTTTCTTCCTGTGTATGGATCCACTTTCCTGTTTTCTGGGACCTCTCAGAGGCAGGTTCTCTCGCCTGCTTTTCTTCCTGTGTATGGATCCACTTTCCTGTTTTCTGGGACCTCTCAGAGGCAGGTTCTCTCGCCTGCTTTTCTTCCTGTGTAGGCAGGTTCTCTCGCCTGCTTTTCTTCCTGTGTATGGATCCACTTTCCTGTTTTCTGGGACCTCTCAGAGGCAGGTTCTCTCGCCTGCTTTTCTTCCTGTGTACGGATCCACTTTCCTGTTTCTTTGTATGTGTGGTAATTTTTTTTGTTGAAACCAGGACATTTTAGGTAATGCATGATAGCAGCCCCAGATACTGGACCCCTCCTTCTCTGTGGCTTGTTTTTGCTTGCTTGTTTATTTCTTTGTAGTGCGGTGGCTGGATTATTTGGGGGAAGTTTGTTTCCACCTGAAGATGGAGCCGCCCATGCTCCTCAGAGGTGCAGCCTTGGGTCTACGCAGCCACCCTGGGATAACAGGGGTTTAGCAGGGCTCTCGCTGGGCGTCTGTGTTATATTTTCTGACCCTGTCAGTGTCATGCCAGGTGTTAGGCTCCACTAATTGCAGGTTAGTTGCTCTGCTGTTTTTTGACAATGCCCTGGTGTGTAAATTGTTCCCTTTGCTGATCTAATTAAATCTGGGCCCCTTTGCAGCTGTAGTTTTTGAGACAAGTTTGCAGTTTGTTCTGACCCTAGGAGGGTTGTTGTTCGATATGTCCTTCCCTGGCTCTCTGGTAAACCAGCTGGCTACAGAGGATGGAGCTACCAGCCTACCCTTAACTGCTCACCACTGAAATCTCCATTGTTTCAGTTGCACCTTTAGACGTGAACTTCCCCACAGTGTGTTTCAAATGAAGTCCGTTCGTTTGGGTAGAGTTTCGGAGCTCCCTGATCGTGTGGTTTACCTCTTGCCCTGAGCAGAGTCTCTGAGACCTTGCTCCAGAGCTGGGGTGGGGACAGCGACCCCTTGTCTTGGAGGGACAACCTGCTTTATGAGCAGCTCTGGTGTGGCGGTGGCCTCTCCCAGCCTGGAACCTTGCCCCACCAGTGGGCTGGGGCCAGGCGGATCAGGGCCCTGGCGTTTTTGCCTGGGATAGAAACTTGGATTTATTAGTAGGGGTGGTTGAAGGAAGGGAGCTTTTCCCGTGTTGCTGGCCACGCTCCCTGGGAATATAGCCTCTGCCACTCACAGCTGTGGGGAGATTGGGAAATGGTGGTGGCCTGACCCTTCTGGTGGCTGGGATCTCAGGGAACAGGCAGCCCCGTTCCCTTGGCCACGTTCACCTGAAGTGGAGCTTCCATCACGCTGACGGGGGCAGAGGAGGGAAGGCGCAGGTCATGGCTCCGGTGCCTCAGACTCTCCCGTTCTTACTGACATCTAGTAGATTTTCTTCAATAAATGTTTCCTTGTTTGCTGTGTGCCCTCATTTTCGAGAGACTTAAAATGGCTCTTTTTAAACAAGTTCCACCAGTTGTGGACGTTTGCCAGGGAGCAGGTCTGCCAGGTTCCTCACGCCTCCATCCTGGAATTGGAGCCCCTGGGCTTTACCTTGAGGGCTGAGGGTGTTGAAGGCAGCTGCAACTTAGAGAACCCCTAGGAGGGAGCTGAGACGTCCCCGTGGTAGGCACCACTGGCTGAGGACAGCCACTGTGGGGAACTGGAAAGGTGACCTAGCTCCATGTAGCGGACTGTCGAGACTTAGTAATTAACTGGTGGATGAGGAGTTAGTGAGGGGAGGGAGGCACTGCAGGACAGGGAAGCACTGCAGTGACTCACAGTCCGCGCTCTGCAGAGTTCTCAGAACGCAGATCAGCAGCCAGGGCCTGCGTCTGCATGTCTGACGACTCCTAGCGATGCCCGCGCTGCTGGTGCCCCGTTTGGGTAGCAAGGACCTAGGGTTTTGTGTTCAAGCAACTGGCGAATGGTGACAGGGTGGAATTGTCCATTTCCTTGTCTGTTTCCCCTGCTGGAGGGCAGGGATGGTGTCTTTCTCATTGTTGTATCTTGAGTATGTAGAACAATGGGTGACCTCTATAGTAGGTGTGTGATGGTTGAGTATTTGTTGAATGGCTTAATGACTGTTGACAGAAAACGCAAAGAGGAACAGTGATGTGGGAGCAGATGAATTTTATTTGGGGCATGCTGCACGTGAGGTGCCTGTGGTCAGCCAGGTGCAGGAATATTGCTTGTCCTGAGTTCAGAAAGGGGATTTGGGCAAAAGTTAGTGATTTGGAAATCGAGAATGCAGATTGTAAAGGAAGCAAAGAGGTGGGGTGAGGTTTTCCTGGGAAGGTGCATAGAGGAGAGGGGAGAACATAGGCCAGAGCTTATGTTGCTGGAGAACATCTGTCGTGAACACCCCTTGTCGCTGTGCCCATATTTCATAGCTCTGTCTCATCTTCGTGAGAGTGAACCTGAGGTGCATCTGTGTTGCAGGCTGAAGAGCTCTTTTCCTCCCTGGGAGTTGACTGCGACGTCTCGGAACTTGATCAGGTTGGTGAGCAGAATGATGAGCGCACATGGTTCTTTGTAACAAAGGCCAACAAGGCTGACTTCTTTCCGTTTGCCTCATTCACCCCCATTTACTCCTGTCTCTTTCGGTTAGATGAGCTGGTTTCATCTACCTTCAACCCCGCAGAGAGTGAACCTGTATATGAAAATAACTTGTGTAGATTTTTTTGTCTATGTTTTTCGCATTTGAGGGGAGGGACTAGAAGGAAGATGTATAAGCCGGTAAGCTGGAAGTCCTTCAGGCATCTCAGCTGCGTCTGCCAGCTTTCTAGCACAGTACGTTAAGCTGTGATAAATGAAGTGAATCTGCCCCTGTTTCCTGAGTGTACCGCCCCTGAGGGGCAACACGTCAGCTTTATGCTTTTGAATTCCCGTCATCTGTGCACTTTACATGTGCATGTGTTTTGCAGGAGTGGGAGACGTCATGGTGAACAGAAACCTGATCTGAGCCTTCATGGACTTCACCCTCCTTTTAGCCAGGTCACTTTAATAAGTGAAGTGTTCTAGAGTCTGTGAAACTTTTCTAAAGCGTATCCCGAGTGGGGCGCCTGAAGTACTTATGGCCCAGTTCTGCTTTCAGGGACCATGATCATAAAGAGTTTTCAGATGTAATTGCAGGAGATGTTTTCTGAGTTACCGCTGTTAAGGCGGATTGTGTTTTACGTTTGTTCTTTAAAGTGGATTCTTATCTGTCTCTGCCTACTCATTGGATCATAAATCAAATTCTAACCTAGAAGTGTTTATTTTAAAAGGAGTCAGTAGACTGGTCTTTATTCTTTAAGGCTCCTTTTGGACGCCTGAGTGTTTTCCCCTGTCGAGTCATCATTTGTAAAGTTGTATGACGTGCTGACCTCTGTGGGTGTGCAAACGTGGGTGTCTGAGTGTCCTAACACTGCAGCTCAGCTCACAAAGGCTTAGAACCTTTGCAGTGTTTTACCTATTTAATCTTTTATTCCTTAGATGATGGGGCCAGTGTTCAAGAGGTGCTGTCGGAGATCACTAATCAGAGGACCGTGCCCAGTATCTTTGTGAATAAAGTGCACGTGGGCGGATGTGACCGAACTTTCCAGGTAATGATAGTATCGTGTGTTCTGGAATGCTGTTTGTTCAAATTTTGTCTTAAAAAAATAGTTAAAAGGGGGAGGAGATGGTTTTTAGAAGTCTATTCATTTGTGTCTTTTGGAGCTTGTAAAAGCAAAAGCCTGTAGGATGGTTATCAGAGAATCTTGATTGCTTTAATGGAAATTAGCTTTTCTACGAATTCAAACTTCAGAAGCTGAGGAGGAGGTTTTGAGTGAGGTTGCAGGACAGACAGGTCAGCGGCGCTGCTCTCTTCCTCCTGATGGGACAGAAACAAGGCCTCTTCCCTCCTCAAGGTTTAGTGAAATGAGCTCAGCACTAACGTTCTGGTCCAGGGTGCATAGGACTCCTACCAAGGCTGCTGACCCTGCGAGCTTCGCAAAGCTTTGCTTGTTTGATTCCTAGAATGCAGAAATGAACAGGAATCATTCGGTTAAGTAGAGATAGATCAAAATTGTTGTTTATTAAATAAGGTCTGTATTTTAACTAGGTGTTTGCTTTTATTAAAATTCTGCTCTTGTATCCTTTATGTATGTATGCAAATGGTAATGATCAGTGATTGATTAAATGCTTATATTTAGATTTCAATTAAGAATTATATTTTTGTCGGGCGAAAAGATTGTCTACGTTGTATGTTAACCTGGGATTGGCATTGTTCTCTAGTAACAGCCTGCTCTATGTGTCCTAGAAGCTATAACCCAACTCATGTGGTGGTAAGTACCATAGTTTACAGCCTCTAAACACCTTTGGAGTTGCTGATCTTGCCAGTCCTAGCTGGGAAGATGCTGTCAGAGCGTGGTCTGGGGCTGTAGAGGTGTCGGTTCTACTTCGAGACTGCAAGACTCTCCCTTGGACAGCAGCTGTTTAGGAGGGGGATTTCCCTACGGGCCCTAGGAATCAGGAGGCCACCCGGCTTTGGGACCATGCACGAGACATCTGCTGGGTCTGTGGTCGTGTGGCACTTCCACTGCACTCCCAGGATGAGCCCGTTCGAAAGCCAGTTTGTTGGGACTGAGCAGCCGACTTTGCACAGACAACTATTGTTTAGTCACATATGGAGCCTCTGACCTCATCTAAGCTTCTTCTGACCACCAGGAGGGCCAAGTGGACAAGAGAATGTGCTGCAGGGTCAGCCTCCTGACCAGAAAAAGCAAGTTGTTTGTGTTGTATAGGAAGTGGCGAGATTTAGGTCAGTTTACGAGAAACCAGGAAGAGCTTCAAAGTGCATGTCCTGCTGCCCATGCATGAGCATTGTTCTCAAGGTGAAGACTAGCACAGGTGGACAAAACATAGAGGGTCTTGAACAATGGCGCTTGGCTATTTAACTGCACCTAGTTATTCTGTAACTCAGCTTTACCTGCTCGCCGCTCGAAAGCCAATACCGAGAAGCAAGCGTTAGTAGAAAGGAAAGTTGCTTTAATCAGAAAAGCCAGCCATCTGGGGAGAAGGCGGACCCATGTCCCAAAACCAACTTGGAAGATTCTGCTTGGCCATGATCGTTTTTAAAGGGAAAAAGGGGAAATAATCTCAGTTAATCATTGAGACAGGAGGTCGGATTCTTCGTCACCTCTCCATCGTGTGCAGACCTGCCGGCTTCTCCTGAGCTTCCCTTGGGTGCCGTCTTGCCCACGTGGTCCGCCTGCAGATTTGCTAAGGGGGACGATGGGCATAGAGAGTCAGTCATTCTTTACCTACTTAATCCTTCATTCTTACTCCTTTTAATCCAGGAAAGGAGTCGACAGGTCAGGCGAGGTATTGCGTGCATTCAGTAGAGCAGAAATCAGGGGCTAGTTTAAATGTTACCTATGATCTCAGTTTTACAACTAAGGTCTGAGGAAAGCAGAGACGAGCAAACGGAAAAGGGCAGAAGAGCTGCTTACAAAATGACCTAGTCTGACATGGATGTAAGGCCATGACCTCCCCATCATTGGACGCATGCCTCACTATCGGGTGATAACCAACAAAACATATGTGCTTTGGCATCCGTTCTAACTAGTTGGACCCAACTGAATGCCATCCAGGTAAACTGACAGTTCCAACTTACAAAGATTGTAGGTCAACTGTTTCCAAGACTTTTATAAAAGAAATGTATGCCGATTAAGCATAGGGTACAAAGAAAAAGTTTGAAAACAAGTCACACTGTGTCCTCTCCTTTGGGTAACCCTCAGGCACATCAGAGTGGTGTATTACAGAAGCTCCTGCAGGAAGATCCAGCATGTGATTACGACCTCATTGTCATTGGTTGTGGCTCTGGCGGCCTCTCGTGTGCTCAGGTATGAAAAAAATGACCCCCGAAGATGATTTTCCTGGTGATTGCCATGACCATTTCTTGTGCTGCTTAAAAAAAAGCCGTTTATGATGTTCCAGTCTACTCTGTTGTTGTAATAGCTGGTTTAATGAAGAGGAAAAACTGGGTTTCATCACAAACACAGTCATCGTTTAGGGGAGAGAGAAATCGGGGGAGTGTCAGGAAAATGACAAGGTCTCTATCTGTGGCTTTTTTCGTAGGAAGCTGCCGCTTTGGGGAGGAGAGTCATGGTGCTGGACCTCGTGGTCCCGTCGCCCCAGGGCACATCGTGGGGTGAGCTGCTCTTCCCACCATCGTGCGGTGGTTGTTCTCTGTAGGCTCAGCCTCCCTCAGTCCTCACAACAGTCTCGAGTATAACCCACCTGTTTCAGGGGTGAGGAAACTAAATCTCCAATCACACTGTTAACAAGAGGAGACACTGGAAGAATAATAGGAAAATAATTAGGGAAGACTGTGCGAAAGGGAAAAATTCCGTGACCCCAGTGTTCCAAAACTTCTGCCAGAATAATTTTTGTACACACGCATGGGTGTTTTCACACCGTTGTGGTCACGCAGTGGTGTGTGCACCCTGTTGTGCTCGCCTGAGTTGGCCATGATGCTTTTCTGTGTTTCTGCATTGATTTTATCATGGACCCCAGTGGCTGCAGGATGGTCAGTTGACTTAGTGTGTGTGGTCATCCCAGGTCCGTTTAATGCAACGCACAGCAAGCTCCCAGCCTGGGACTTTGCTGTAGACAAGAGTGCTCGCCTGTCCACGCTCTTTTCACTGTAGCATAGAAGGCATAGCTTTTGTGCTGGGTGTTTTCTGCCTATGCTTCGGTCCATCCCCGTTGTCTGTACCCTGCGCTCCCCACAAACTGGTGGATTGGCCGCATGCCCTCTGGCTTCTGCTGGGGCGTGGCCATCGGGGTAACGGGAAGAGCAGAGGAGGAAGCGTAGGGCGGGGTCTCCAGGCCCGCTGGGCACTGCAGGCTGGTTCTCCCCCGTGGTCCAGCTTTGGGTGGTGGCACTGGCCCCGTCGCTTACCCCTTCACGGGGCTGGTGGTGGCCCCCTTGCACCCACTGCTCTTCCTGCCACACCCTGTAATGATTTCTACCCTCTCCTCAGTTCCCCAGCTGGAGTGTCACCTGTTTCCTGCCAGAACCCTGACAAAATGGGAAAGTTGGTTTTTGTTTTTTGTAATAAATTCATTTATTTTATTGATTTTATTGATTTTATTTTTGGCTGTGTTGGGTCTTGATCGCCGCACGCGGGCTTTCTCTAGTTGCGGCGAGAGGTGGCTACTCTTCATTGTGGTGCGCGGGCTTCTCATTGCGGTGGCTTCTCTTGTTGCGGAGCACGGGCTCTAGGCGCGCGGGCTTCAGCAGTTGTGGTGCGTGGGCTCAGTAGTTGTGGCTCGCGGGCTCTGGAGCGCAGGCTCAGTAGTTGTGATGCACGGGCTGCGTTGCTCCACGGCATGTAGGATCTTCCCGGACCAGGGCTTGAAGCTGTGTCTCCTGCGTTGGCAGGCAGATTCTTAACCACTGCACCACCAGGGAAGCCCCGGGAAAGTTGGTTTTTAAAGTTCAAGTTTACTCAAAAAAATTTAGCCTAGAATTTCATATATTAAAGGTAGTTCACCTCAACTTTGCTCGTATGGTTGGAACGCTTGTCTTTCTTCTTCCTTCCTCTGGCCCTGTCCCCTCCCCTGTCCAGAAAGAGCCCGCTTAACCTGGACACCAGGAGAGATGTGCTCGCAGAGGGCTCTTCTGTTTCTAGCCCCGTGTTGTTGAAGGATCCAGAGTAGATGTTACCTGGCAGCTGGCAGTGGACCTGTGCTGGCTCCGAGGAGGACTCAGGTTCGCAGAAGCAAAGGCTGGAGGCTGCAGTGTTGGCCTCAGTGCAGCGTGGGCCTAATTAACCTGACGCGGTTCTGACCACTTTGTGCGTCAGACTCAAGTGGAAGTTTTAGACTCTGTCCCCAGAAAACCGTTCACGTGCACGTCCATGTTTTGCACATCCCTGGGCCTCCTTCATGGACCCTCGGTCAACAAGTTTGGTGAATCATTTCGTGTTGTTGTGGGGCGTGATGGTGACCCCATGACCGTCAAGTTTGTCATTTCCACGTTTTAATAACACCCACTCTGCACGTGCGCAAAACCACACGCACGCACACACACGCACACACACACACACACACGCACACACAACGTTACAACTGTGACTTTCTCTCTCAGGTCTCGGTGGCACTTGTGTGAATGTCGGCTGCATCCCGAAGAAGCTGATGCACCAAGCCGCCCTTTTGGGCCAGGCGCTGACTGACTCAAGGAAGTTTGGCTGGGAGTGCAGTCAACAAGGTGGGTGATAGCGTGTAAAGAGAGAGATTGGGAGAAAAGAAGAAAGAACGAGTTCCTTGGAAATCCGTGCTATTTACATTGCTGTAGTTTAGTTTTATGGGGGTTTTTTTGGGCTGTGCTGTGCAGCTTACGGGATCTTAGTTCCCCGACCAGGGATCGAACGTGGGCCCTCGGCAGTGAAAGCGTGGAGTCCTAACCACTGGACCGCCAGGGAAGTCCCTGTAGTTCAGTTTTAAATTAGTTTAATAAACACTTGTGAAGAGCCCACCGTGTGCCAGCCAGCCCCAGAGAACTCAAAGGTGGTCAGTTGAAACCTGCTTTCGTGGGCCTTAGTGCTTAGGGAGGGAGCTGTTGCAGCCTCGGCCATTCCAAACCCTTAGCAGAGTGTGAGAGGGAATAGTTACTATTTTCAGATTTCTTTCAAGTATAAAGAAAACAGAATAGCAAGGGTCATTGTGTGGATTTTATCCATTACTGTGAGGACATTTTCTTTTATATCAGTGTTTATGTATGTCTTTGGTTAATGGAAAACAAATTCACCAATAAAAACCTATTGGTGGGACTTCCCTGGTGGTCCAGTGGTTAGGACGCTGCACTTCCACTGCAGGGGATGCGGGTTCGATCCGTGGTTGGGGAACTAGATCCCGCATGCCGCGCGGTGTGGCCAAAAAAAAAAAAAATCTGCAAAGCACCTATTGGTGAGGCTCTGAGGATGCAGAGATGAGGAAACTGTCACTCCTGCCCTTGGTGAGGCTCTGAGGATGCAGAGATGAGATGAGGAAACTGTCACTCCTGCCCTGGAGCAGCATAGCCTGCTGGGGGAGGGAGAGTGGAGGGGGAGGGGAGCGACTTAGTGCCCGTAATTGGTGCTGAAGTTTCCAGCATCAACCTGAGGGGCACTTAGGAGCCTTGAGCCGTGGAGGTGGCGAAGGTGGCCCTTGAGGTAGGACACAGGGCAGGAAGCAGCTTGCCCCACACCATGTGAGCTGTGTAGACATGGTCATCATTGCTGGTCGAAACCCCCTGGGACCATGGGCATGGGGTCTGGGAACGTAGTAACCAGAATGGCCATCGGGACTGCAAAATCTTAGGAGACTTGTTGTCCACGGAGGTCCTAGGAAGGGTGACATGACATCTGGGCGATAATCACTGCCGCCGCCCGAGCCTCTGCACACTGTGACCTCTGCCCCTTCCCTGTGCTCTCCTGTCCCACGTCCCAGTGGGCGGGGCCCTCGAGAGCGCTGGAGGGGTCCAGGTCCAAATGTGACCAGAGGGTGAACCCCCGATGGATGGGTTTGCCTTTGGGGACCTCCCCCAGCTTGACGGGAGCCCTGGGCTGGTGTCTCCTTGGGGACTGGCATCGGCAGATGAGATGGATCCAGGAAAGAAACCCCACCTAGAAGGTCCAGGGTGAGGAGGAATATTGATTCCGTGAACCCCACCCCGGCTTTGACGGGAAGTGGGTGAACTCGGTCATCTAAATGCGGGGCATTCACTGTCACAGCCCCGCCGGGGATCCGGGGGGTGTGGCCAGGGAGGTGTCCCGCACCTGTCCTGGGGGCGCTCCCGGTGCCTCGAGACCCTGGGGCCTGGGTGCGAGATGGCTGCTCCCCGCCCTCCTCCGTGGGCTTTCCTTGTTTTCACAGCTCTGCTTTTCGCGTCTTTTGTATTTTAGAAGAGGAAGAAGTATAAGCCGTGACTGGCATCAAAAGGGTTTCAGTTGCTGGTTATCTTCTGTTCACTTCTTGACTCTTGAAGCGATAGATAGGGTGGCTCGTGTGTAGGTGTGACTTACCGGTGACAGTGCAGCCCCTTCACACCCCCTGGTGATTTCTCCTCAGTGAAGCACAACTGGGAGACCATGACCGAAGCCATTCAGAAGCACGTCGGCTCTCTGAACCGGAGCTACCAGCGGGCTCTGAGGGAGAAGGCGGTGGCCTACGTCAACTCCTACGGGGAATTTGTTGAACACCATAAAATCAAGGTCTGTTGGGGCGTTTTGTCCCGTTCGTTGCTTTCCTTGCTTCTGCCATGCCTGCCGTGAACCCATACTCCGTGTTGCATGTTGAGGGCTGCAGCTGGTGTGCGTGTGCACAGCCGTGCACGCATGTGCTTTCCCCAGTGTTCGTTGACTCCACGTCTGGCTGAAGTGGAGACATTGCCTTTTAAAGAATTCTCAGTTTTAACTTATTTGCCTTTCGGTTTCATTGCCATCTTAAAAGAGAAAATGTTTAAACAGTTCAGAGTTCAAAATTCTAAAAAGATCAAAATTTTAGGAGTGCAATTCTTTTTTAAAATGAAACCTCAACTAGAACTCCGGTACATATTATTCATAAAAGCACTAGTAGGGCTTCCCTGGTGGCGCAGTGGTTGAGAGTCCGCCTGCCGATGCAGGGGACACGGGTTCGTGCCCCGGTCCGGGAGGATCCCACATGCCGTGGAGCGGCTGGGCCCGTGAGCCATGGCCGCTGAGCCTGCGCGTCCGGAGCCTGTGCTCCGCAACGGGAGAGGCCACAGCAGTGAGAGGCCCGCGTACCGCAAAAAAAAAAAGCACTAGTAAAAGTAGTATCAGAATTAGTGTATTTTATACATTTGTATTTGTAATATTTGTGTGTTGTAAGATCAGTACTTACGGAGAATGAGACTGTTGATGATCACAAACATTTAACTGGAGTGCGAGAGACGTTCCGATACCATCCTCAACACCTGCCCCACCTCTGTCCTCTGCTTTGGTGGCACAGTACTCGATGGCCTGGACAGGACTTGAGGTCCTTTTGTGGTCACCTGTTGTCTCTAGAAAGGTGTCAGTTGTGTGTTGAGAGCTGAGAACCTCACATGGCCACAGGAGGCCAGGGCGGGAGCTCCAGTCGGTGGGCTTGTTTCTCAGGCCGTCACCTGCCTGCCTTCTCCCCGCCACAGCCTGGCTGTTCTGTTCAGGACCCTCCTCCAGGCTGCCCTCCCTCCATCCCACTGTTTTTTAATTTTCTAATGAAAATGGATTTATGATTTGCTTGTGTAATTGAAACTAAACAAACAATGAACAGCTTTGTGGATTCCGCAGAGCCTGGATTTCGGTACGGCGCACAAGGGTCTTCAGAGTGGGCACCCTCTTTCCCTGTTCCTTCCCGGCACTGGCTGCTCCCCAGATGCCAGCTGCTCCTCGGCCTGCGCACTTGGCCACGCTCTGTCCTCTCTCCAGTCACCCGCGCGGCCGCCCTGACTGGCCTTCCAGTCCCCCACTGCTCCGCACCGCGGCCGTAGTGCCCAGGCTGTGAACACGCCTGTTTTCTGTGCAGGAGGTTATCACAGTGTGTTACTATCTTTGCATGTGTGTTCCTGCTGACAGGAAGCTCCGTAGTAACTACTGCGTCCCGGGTGTCTGATATTCTGTGGTGGTTGATGAAAAGTGAAGTTTGCTTTTCTCTTTTCAAGGCAACCAATGGAAAAGGACAGGAAACGTATTATACTGCAGCAAAATTTGTCATAGCAACAGGGGAAAGGCCGCGTTATTTGGGAATCCAAGGAGATAAAGAATACTGTATTACTAGGTAAGATTAACTAGGCCATCTAACCGTAAGTTGTAAATAGTATGTTTCTGTGTCTCCAGTTTATTTACTCCCTGTCTTATTTCACAAAAGATTTGAACTAATGACAAATCAAAGTACATACAATGCAAAGCTAGGTAGTTAACATGATGGAGCACAGAGACCGTAGGCTCAGTAAATAATAAGGTCACAGATGCACACAGGTGTGTTGCAGGTCTCCTGGTAGGTGCTCTGGGAACGGGTCTGGGATTTGGCTCTACAATTTCTAGAGCTCACAGGGAAGCAGTGACTACTTCACTGCTTTAGGGTATCGTGTCTGTATGGCAGTAATGAACCAGGTGACCAGGAGAAGCACAGCTGTCCTAATTCTGGCATGTAATAGGAATTCTCATTGGATGGTTGTAGCAGGACGTACGACCTTGGCATAGAAAGCTGGACAATGAATTTCAAACTGTTCTGAGCAGGCGCACTTTAACAAATACGTTTTTCACTGTGTGGTCGCTCAGGTGAACACACGACACCCACGCCAGACAAAGCCGTGTTTCTTCTTATTACATAGAATGTGGTCTAATATCCTCTGTCCCATTTTATTATTTACAAAATCTTGGCCTGTGACCCACTAGTTTGATTTTGAGACACTGGGCTGGACATCTCCCTCCACAGTGGACACGCATTCCACAGGCTGTCTGTCCCCTTCAGCGCCTGTTCGTTCCGGCCCCGCATGGCACCATCCTGCCTGGAAACCCCTTCTCTCTTTGCAGCGATGACCTCTTCTCTCTGCCCTACTGCCCGGGCGCGACCCTGGTGGTGGGCGGATCCTCCGTGGCGCTGGAGTGCGCAGGCTTCCTGGCCGGCCTGGGCCTGGAGGTCACGGTCATGGTGAGCTCGCAGCTCCTGCAGGGCTTCGACCAGGAGATGGCCGAGAAGGTGGCTTCCTCCATGCAGCAGCTCGGCGTCCGATTCCTGCGCAAGTTCGTGCCCGTGGAGGTGAGTTCCCAGCACCTGCCAGCCTTCGCTGTCGCCTCGCCCTCCCCGCTCTCGCGCTTTCCTGTTGCCCTCGTTAACTCTGCTCACCAGGAACCCTGAAGATGGTGCTCCCGCCCCGGTCTCGGCGCCCGGCCGCCCCCCTCCCCCCCCCCCCCCCCCCCCCCCCCCCCCCGGCCGCACGTCCCGTCTCAGTGCTGAGGCCTCTGCTCAGGCATCCTCCCCAACTCCGCACCCATTTATGCAGCCGCCTGCCGGGCATCTCCACGTGAATTCCTCTCAAGCATTTTAAATTTAACAAGATGAAATAAAGCTCTTGATTTCCCCACCGAATGTACTCCCTGCTGTGTTTCCGGCCTGTCTCAGTGCTCGGGAAGTGGTCCCCTGGAACACGCCATCTGTTAAGTCAATGCCTGGAAAGCATCCCTCTGTGGCTCCCCTTCTGTTGTCTCCAACTAACCCAGCAACTTATCTCTCTTCCACATTGTCCCTTGGGACGGCCCTCTTTTCTCTGTCCAAACACCTAAACATACACACACCCTGTGGTCCACCTATTTTCTGTCACCTGTAGAGATAATCCTTGCACTGTTCCTCCTCACCAGGTTCAGCAGTTGGAGAAGGGGTCACCTGGGAAGCTGAAGGTAGTGGCTAAATCTACGGAAGGAACAGAGATGATTGAGGGCCTTTACAACACGGTGAGTTTCTGTCGTGTGAGCAGTGGGTGGACGAACACGCTCATAAGTTAGTGCAGATGAAACTTAGGGGAAAATTATACCAGCATTAACTCTTTTCTTGATTCTTCGTGAGAGTCTGATACATATGGAAGGTGTTGTGCTGTTGACGTTCGATAGTTTTCAGCGGCACACGAAGCATACGATGGTAATATACGTGTGTGTGTGACTATGCAGAGAACAAAATCTGGAAGCAGGTATACCTGCTTTTAGTGCTTACTTCTGGGGAATTAGATGTCTTATACATTCCTGCATTTGAATATTTTTGCAATAAACATTGAATATACTTTATAATCAAAACAACAATAAAGATATTTTCAAAAACAAACAATGTAAAATCTCCAAACAGTGTGACTAGTCCCTGGACTTTTGGGGGTGGCAACAATTCTAATTTAAACTGATGATACTTAGAGACCGTTTCTTTTGTAAACTGTAGTTTATACCTTTAACATAAACTGTACACTTGTGTTTTACACACTCTTATAACATGATTCTTTTCAATTAAAAGTAGATAACGTGGAGAGGCTCACCAAAGCCAAAAATATGTAAAACAAAAGTAAAAATCAGCCTCTGTTCAGATTTCGATTAGGATTGCGGTGGATGCGTAACCAGTTGGAAACACTGGACTTCTTTGCAGTGTCCATTCTCCCAGTCCATGAACATGGTATATCTGTCCTTTGACTTAAGCCATCTGTCATAGTTCCCAGCAAATTTAGTACATTTCTCGGTAGACATCAAGAAGGTCTTCTGTTAGATTTATTGCTAGGTACTTACATATTTCTGTATAGTTCCAAACGGTGTTTTATGAAAACAGCGTCATTGTCTTTCCCTGTTTGCTGCTGACGTATAGAATGCAGCTGATATGTGTGATCTGATTTAGTACTCAGTAAGCTTGCGGAAGTCCTATTTGGTTATGTATCCTTAGACTATGTGGGGTCTTCTTTGTCCATGTTCCTATCAAGGGTTTTGCTTCCTCCTTTCCACTGTTTCCCTTTCCTCCTTTTTCTTGCACAAGGGCACCAGCCATGGCCTCCAGTGCAGTGTTAACAAGAAATGCAGAGCCAGGTGCTCCTGTCTGTTCTCAGGGTCGGAAGGAAGGCTTTCACTGTTTCGTGGTTATAGAGTAAGGTGTTCCATAGGGTTTGGGTAGATATTCTTAATCACGCTAAAGAAATCATTTTCTATTTCTCGTTTGCTAAGTGGTTTCATTTGTTATTTGGGTTTTGTATGTTTGTTTGTTTTAAAAGTCAGGATTGGATATTTAGCTGTAAGATTGTTTCTTTTGTAGCTGTTAATGATTTTTTTTTCTTTAATCTGTTAGTGTGTTGAATTACATTGGTTTTCTAATGTTCAGTCAACTTTGTATTCCTGATAAACCCAACTTGGTAATGGTCCTTTTTATATATTGTTGGATTTGGTTATTTAGAATTTTTGCATCTATATTCAAGAATTGTATTGGCTTATAATTTTCCTTTCACGTACTGAACTTTTCAGATTTTGGTATCAAAGTTATTCTAGCTCATGAAAGATGTTTGGAATATGTTCCTTCTTTCTCTGTTCTCTGGAGGCGTTTAGTAATATTAGTATTAGTTCTTTGCATGTTTGATAGAATCCACTGATGCAAACACCAGGGCCTCGAATGTTCAGTGAAGATATATTCAGTTTTCTTTAACAGTCAATGGACCTTTTAAAGCTTTCTACTTTTTTCTATATCAACTTTTGATTTGTTACATTTTCTCAGAATTAGTCTGTTTCATCTAAGTTATCAAATGTATTGGTATAAAGTTGTGCAAAATATCTAAAATTGTGAATTGTTTATTTTTGTAATGATGTATCATTTACATGTAGTGATATACACAGTTCAATTGGCTTTGACAAGTGTACATGTTTCTGTAATGCACACTCCTTTGAGAGTAACAGAGCATTTCTGTGGAGTCGGAAAGCTGTCTCGCACCCCTTCCCAGTACCTTACCCCAAGCAACCCTGATCTGGTCTGTCACCAGAGACCAGCTGTTCCTATTTAGATGTCATGATGTGGAGCCACGTGGTACGTGCTCCTTGGGGTCTGACTCGGGATCCATCCATGTGGTGTGTATCAGTGGCTGGCTCTTTTCACCATATGAATTGTCTGAATGTACCACAGGTCACTTTCCTGTGGAGGGATGCCAGGCTGTTTGCCCCTGGGTTCTTGTGACGAAAACTCTGTGAAGGTTCTTGCGTGAGGCCTTCTGTGGACACACGCTTTCCTTTCTTGTGGGTAAATACCTAGCAGTGAAATTGCTTGGTCATTGGGGACTTCCTGTGTTTAACTTTTGGGGAAGCTGCCAGACAGCTTCCAAATGATTGTCTCAATCTATATTCCCACCAAGGATGCATGAGTTGTGGTTGTCCTGTAGCCTCACCAACATTTGGGGTTGTCGATTTTTTTGTTTAAGCCGCTCCAGTGCATGTGTAGTGGAATCTTGTTATAGGTTTAACTTGCATCTTCCTAGTGACTACAGTGATGTTTGGCAACTTCTCATGTGTTTTTTGGCCGTTTAAATATTTTCCCTTATCAAGTGTCTGTTTGAGTCTTTGGCGCATTTTTGGTTGGGTTATTGAATTTTATTTGGAATTGCAGGAGTTCTGTGTGTGTTGTGGGTACATTCCTTTTTCAGATGTGTGTGTGTGAATATTTCTTCCCACCTAGTTGCCCATTTAGTTTTTTATGGCATCTTTTGATGAGCAATAGTTTTAAATTTTTGCTGAAGTTCAATTCATCAGATTTTTGTTTTATGATTAAAGTTCTCTGCGTGCTCTACCCAGAGGTTGTGAAGATATTCTACATTTTCTTCCTGAAGCTTTATAGCTTTATCTTTTATGTTTAAGCCTGTAATTCATCTTGAACCAATTTTTGTTTACAGTGTGAGGTAGGAATTGAGGTTCTTTTTCTTCCATGTTGATACCCAGAGCCATCTGTGAAAAGACTTCTCTTTGTCCATTGAGTTGCTTTGGTGCCTTTGTGATCATGTGATGTTTAACTGTGGGTCTGTTTCTGTCCTCTCTGACCTGTTTTGGTCATTGAAGCTTTATAGTTAAGTACTAGACCAGGGAGGGTAGGCTCTCTAACTTTGCATAGGGCCTTTCCATATGAAATTTTTTTATTGAAGTATAACTGATTTACTTTACAACTAATGTTGTGTTAGTTTCAGGTGTACAGCAAAGTGATTCAGATATGTGTGTGTGTGTGTGTGTGTGTGTGTGTGTGTGTGTATGTTCTTTTTCAGATGTTTTTCCAATTATAGGTAATACAATATACTGAATACAGCTCCCTGTGCTCTACAGCAGGTCCTTGTTGATCATCTACTTTATACATAGTAGTGTGTACCTGCTAATCCCAAGCTCCTCGTTTATCCTCCCCACCTTTTCCCCTTTGGTAACCATAAGTTTGTTTTCTATGTCTGTGAGTCTGCTTCTGTTTTGTGAATAAGTTCATTTGTATCATTTTTTTAGATTCCACATATAAGTGATATCATATGATACTTGTCTTTGACTTACTTCACTTAGTATGAAAAGCTCTAGGTCCATCCATGTTTCCAATTCGTTAAAAAAAAAAAAAAAAGTCCTGCTGGGATTTTGATTGAGATGGTATTGCTTATGTAGATGAATTTACGAGAACTGACATCTTAACAACAGTGATTTTTCCAGTACACGAACCTCATACATCTTTCCATTTGTTTGCGAGTTCTTTAGTTTCTCTCAGCAGCTTTTTGTCATTTTGCTCTAGAGGTCTTTCATGTATTTTGTCAAATTTATCTCTGAGTGTTTCGTATTTTTAAGCTACTGTAAGTGGTATTTTAAACTTTAAGTTTTCAGTGGTTAGTAGGTAGTACATAGAAATACAAATGATTTTTGTATATTGGCCTCCTTAGGAGTTGTTCTGCATAAAGCACCAGTTTTGTTTCTTCTTTCCAATCTGTGTGCTTTTATTTCTTTTTCTTGCCTTGTTACACTGATTAAGACATCCACAACAGTGTTGAATGGACATTGTGAGTCCCCCATCTCAGCAGTGAGGCCGTCTTTCATCACAGCTGGGACGTGAGCTCTCGGGTTTTGCAGGTGCCTTTTATCAGGCTGGGGAAGTGCTCTTTTATTCTGAGTGTGCTGAGGACTTTATTAAAATCCTCAACGGGTGTTCAGTTTTGTCAGATGCTGTCCCCACATCTATTGGGATGACTAAGTTGTTTTCTCCTTTATTCTGTTAATATGGTGAATTACACTGATTGATTTTTGTATGTTAAACCAGACTTGTATTTTGGGGACAAAGCCCACTTTGGGGACAAAGCTGACATCTGTTAAGGGTTTTGCATCTGTGTTCCCGAGGAGTGCTGGCTTCTCATTTTCTTTTCTTTTCCTGCCCTTGTTTGATTCTGTGTCAAGGTGATTGTGCCGGCCTTCTACAAAGGACTTGGGACGTGGTCCCTCTTCTGGGTCCCGGAGACTTTGTGTATCATTAATGTTATTTCTTTTTTTAAAAAAAATTATTGATTTATTTTATTTATTTTTGGCTGCACTGGGTCTTCGTTGCGCACAGGTTTTCTCTAGTTGCGGCGAGCAGGGGCTACTCTTCATTGCGGTGTGCAGGCTTCTCATTGTGGTGGCTTCTCTCGTTGCGGAGCACGGGCTCTAGACGCGCGGGCTTCAGTAGTTGTGTCACGTGGGCTCAGTACTTGTGGCTCGTGGACTCTAGAGCTCAGGTTCAGTAGTTGTGGCACACGAGCTCAGTTGCTCTGTGGCATGTGGGATCTTCCTGAAGCAGGGCTCGAACCCGTGTCCCCTGCATTGGCAGGCGGCTTCTCAACCGCTGCGCCACCAGGGAAGTCCTTAGTGTTATTTCTTAAGTGTTCCATAGACTCTACCAGTGAAGTCACCTGGGTCTGGAGTTAACTTATGGGAAGTTTATACATCGTGGATTCAGTTTCTGTAGTGAGTATAGAGTTCCTTAGTCTGCTAGGGCTGCCATAACAAAGTGCCACTAGGTGGGGTTTCTCTCGCCTCTGGAGACCAGACCCCTGAGATCAAAGTGTGAGTAGACTGGTCCCCTCTGAGGCCTGTCTCCTGGGCGTGTAGACGGCCGGCTTCTCCGTGTGTCCTCACGTGATCACCGCTCAGTTTTTGTTGTGTGTGTCCCAAAAACCTCTTCTTATATAAGGACACACGTCAGACTGGGTTTAGGCCACCCTAATGGCCTTGTTTTATCTTAATCACCTCTGCAAAGGCCCCATCTCCAAATACAGTCACATTCTGAGGTTCTGGGGGTTAGGGCTGCAACATGAATTTGGGGAAGGGGCACAGTGCAGCTCATGACGTAGGGTTACTCAGACTTGTATGGGTGCAAGTTTGGTACATTCTGTCCTTCAAGGAATCTATTTTGTCTAAACTGTCAAATTTATTGGCATAGGGTGTTCATAATATTCTGTTACTGTCCTTTTAATGTCTGAAGGGTCCATAGTGAGGTTCCCTCTGTCATTCCTGTTATTAATCGTTTGTTTTTGCTCTCTCTCTAAATGTAGGTTTTGTTAGCAATTGGTCGTGACTCCTGTACGAAGAAAATCGGGCTGGAGAAGATTGGTGTCAAAGTCAATGAGAAGTGAGTCCCGGGCATCACCACCCAGCGCTGCACGGGGCAAGACCCAACGCTGCACGGGGCAAGACCCAGCGCTGCACGGGGCAAGTCCCGGCGCTGCACGGGGCAAGACCCGGCGCTGCACGGGGCAAGTCCCGGCGCTGCACGGGGACAGTCCCTGCGCTGCACGGGGCGAGTCCCAGCGCTGCACGCGGCACGACCCAGCACTGCACGGGGCAAGACCCAGCACTGCACAGGGCACGGTGTTTCTACACATCAGCTCATGGAGACTCTTATCTAATTACTAACATGCAAAGTTTCGATGCTTTAAATTTACTTTGTAAGTACTGTGGCAGCTCTGTATTATCAATTTTTTCATTAATTAATTGATAACTCTTCATGTTTTTCTTAAATATCTCATGCATTAAACAGTTATTTAAAAAAAATTGTGGGAATGTATTCACCTACTTTCTGTGATTTAGAATGAATTTGTATGTCCTTGATCAGGCACAGAGAAAAATTTCAAAGCTATGGGTTTGAGTCTGGGGGACTCTAGAGATACTTTGGCACCCAGAAAGTGGGCCCAGGTTTTCAGACAGAAGGGTGTTTCTTCAGGAGCCGGAGGTGCCCCGGTTGTCTGAGCCTGCAGACGCTTCACGACACAGTTGCCTGAGCGCTTAGCGGGGTCTTTCTCTCTGAATCAGCCTTTCCCTGGACGGGCGTTCGTGTCCAGCAGTGCAGCATCGTCGTAATGTCTTTTTTCTTTCCAAACGTAACAGGACTGGCAAAATCCCAGTGAACGACGTGGAGCAGAGCAGCGTGCCCTATGTCTACGCCGTCGGGGACGTCGTGGAGGGTCAGCCTGAGCTCATGCCCGTCGCCGTGCAGGCGGGCAGGCTGCTGGCTCGAAGGCTTTTTGGGGGCCGTTTAGAAAAGGTAAGTTTCTTACTGCTGTTTCTGAGATAATGTCTAAAGCAAAATCATGATTTGAGGGCAATCAGTACAGCTGGCACCGTGCGCCTGTTTTGCCGGGGAAGCTTCCCCCTAAGCTGTTTGCAGTTCCGTACCGTTTACTGGTGGTTTAAATAAGTATCTTATGCGTATCTTAACGTGCAAGCCATTGTACTGGGTGACGTACGGGGGGCGCCCAGGTAGGGACGTCCTGTCTCCTGACTGGAGGGGTCTGGAAACGCGTCCTGGGCGGATGCTGCTCTGTCACCGGGTGGCAGGGCCCTGCGGCCCGGGGCGGACGGGGCCGGCCTCTGCGCATGCCCAGCCCGTGGACCTGGTCTAGCCACCCTGCTCCTCCGGGCTCCGGGCTCTGTTTCAGCCGACGCACGGCTGACGGTGCATGTGGCGCCCCCTGCAGTCTCCCCACCTCCCGCAGTCTCTGGTCACAGACGAGCCTCTTGCTCTGCAGGCTCTGTCTGCCGGGGCCGACGGTGGTCTCGGGAGCCCCCAGCCCTACGCGTCAGGAGAGCAGGGACCCGTGCACTGCTGGCAGATGAGGGGCAGCGGGGGAGGTGGCCGGGCTGCGTGGGGTGGGGGGCTCAGGGGGCCTGCTGTGCTGCCCCAGCCTCAGTGCAGAGAGAGGCCTGGCATGTGCTGGCAGAGCGGGGGGTCCCACAGCTGGGAGGGAGGAGTCTGGGAGCCAATCTGGTGTCAGATCATCAAGAATCTGGGAGGCTGCAGTGAGGAGCTTTTACGTCCCCCAGCGTTTCATTCAGAAAGGCATCAGACTGCAGAAGGTCTAGTGACAGTCACCCTACGGACCTCCCACCCGGACCGTATGTCCCCCAGCGTTTCATTCAGAAAGGTGTCAGACTGCAGAAGGTCTAGTGACAGTCACCCTACGGACCTCCCACCCGACTGTGCAGGTGTTAATGCCTCCCGCCTGCATTGCCCAGTATGTGGATGTTCAGCACAAAGACTGTTTTGCTGCGCTTCTGGAAGTGAGTGGCAGGCGCTTTGCCCCCAGAAAACGCTTTCAGCAAGCGTCCCCTAAGAGCAAGGGTGCTCGCCTCCATAACCACAGCTGCATCTCTGCGCTGAGGAAGTGAGCAAAGTGCGTCACCCGCGGGCACACGTGCGCATCACCTGGCACATCTGGCTTTTCAAGCTCTTAGGTCTCTTTTAATCTGCTAGAGCCCCTGCCTCTATTTACCTGTTTCTTTGCTTTATTTCTCATGATGGTTTTTTTTTTTTTTTTTGCGGTACGCGGGCCTGTCACTGCTGTGGCCTCTCCCGCTGCGGAGCACAGGCTCCGGACGCGCAGGCCCAGCGGCCATGGCTCACGGGCCCAGCCGCTCTGCAGCATGTGGGATCTTCCCGGACTGGGGCACGAACCCTTGTCCCCTGCATCGGCAGGCAGACTCTCAACCACTGCGCCACCAGGGAAGCCCTCATGACGGGTTTTTTGACGGATCCAGGCTACTCTTCTTGCAGAGTGTCTCACGTCCTGGGTTTCTCTGATGCTTTGCCTGAGCAGGTTCAGGTGGGATGTTTGGGGCCCGGCTTCTTCATAAGGAACTCCGTGTGCTGTGTTTCACCACCAGGTGCCCAGCGAGGTCGTGTGTGGAGACCTCGTGGGTACACGGAGGTGTGGGTGGGTGCAGGGTGACTGGGGCCGTGGCCCTGCTGGCCTCGGTGGGGGCAGGGGTGTGAACGGATGGGGAGCTGTCCCCTCCCCAGGGCATGAGCACCGGGCTCTAGGAAGCACAGCAGTTGCCTGAGGTCCTGAGAAGCGGATCCCAGGGGCGGTGGGCGGAGGCGTGAGAAGACAGGGCAGCGTGTGTGCAGAGAGAAGTCAGAGGACCAGGGCGGGAGGAAGGCTGCAGGTGGGGTGAGGCGCGGGCCCGCTCAGGTGGAGGTTGGAGTTCAAGGTGTGGGACGTGCTTTAGGTGAAAGGGGAAGCTGGGGAGTTTCCTGTTGATTTTCCTCAATTGATGTGAAGCACGAGAAAAGCACCTGTTGAGAATGAGGCGTCCCCTGTAAGCCACGGGATGCAGGGATGCAGGGTTGACGGCCAGAGTGATGAGCAGCCGAGGACCTAGGAGAGGTCAGGAGCTGCTGCGTGCAGCCGTCTGCACTTCTGTGGGTTCCTGTAGCCGTGCTGGGAAAAGAACAAATGCTTGGCTGGTCCGTGATTTGCAGGTCGTGGGACACGACGTGTCGGGGCCGAAGGTGAGGGTCAGGCTGGCACGCGGTGTCCACATTGTCCACCGGGTGCAGGGACGCCCGGTGGTGCGTGATTGGCTTTTCTCTTGGGCCGCAAAGCAGCGCCTTGCTCAGGCCGTCACGTCGACGGGGTTTCTCGTGAGGATCCCACAGTAACCTGGAGGGAGAACCAGGCTGGGGTGGGGCTGGGCTCGAGGCTGCTCTGGGCCCCGAAAGGGTGGGGTTCCTGGTTGGCTACCACTCTGGCTGAGCATTTCTTCCTGTCCAACCACCACCCAGGGGCTTCACCACTGGGGGCCTCTCTCTTCGCCTCTAGTTCATATCCTACAGAGGGAAGAATTTGATGGACGTGCAGCGCTGGGTCTTGCCCCTTGCCCCTTTTCCTCTTGCAATGTGGGCAGCCGGTCGGTCCCTTTGGGTTGGAGTCTCCCCTGAGCTAGTCACCTGTGAGCTGTTGGCGGGGTGGGGGAAGTTGTGCGGTGGGCACCGCTGCCCTTGCGGAGCTGTGGGCGGGAAGCACAGTGACCTTCCTCTCTGGCTCTGCCCGCCCCCTTTCTCGGCCCCGCACACGCTTTCTCTCTGTGCAGTCACAGTCTCCAGACAGGCGTGCGCCTGTGCTCACACTCGCGCCCCGGGATGCAGGGCTGCTGGGGACGGCGTGTGGGGCTCAGGGTCTGCAGCCTTCCCGTGATGTCCTCCTGTGCTCTGTCCCAGGCTGATAAGGGCCCTGAAGGGTCCCATCTCCGGGGCCCGCGGTGTGGCGGCCCTCCATGCGCGTGGCCGTCTCCCCGGGGCGGGCTGGACCGCTCACCCTGCCCTGCGCAGCTGAGCGGCTTCTCCGCTCATCCCTGCAGGGGCACGGTCATGTGCACGGCTGCGGTGGCCCAGGTCCCGGTGCAATGGCAGCGCGTGGTCCCTGCCCCGGAGTCGGGGTGCGCCCGTCTGCTCAGTGACTCAGTTGCCTGAAGCGCTGGCAGTGAGGGTCACCTGCACGGGGCCGTGCTTGTTGATCTTCCTTTTACAAATGTGCGTCGTATGGATTTTCCCTGTAAAAAGGACCACAAAATAAAAGACCGTGACTGGTTTGTCTTGCAGTGTGACTATATCAATGCCCCCACCGTGGTGTTCACGCCCCTGGAGTACGGCTGCTGCGGGTACGCGGAGGAGAAAGCCGTGGAAGTGTACCGGAAGGAGAATCTGGAAGTAAGGTGGTGTGATTGTGGCATGTTCAGACCTTCTCTTTTAATCCACGGTTTGTCTTCAGCCACTTTTTATTTTGTAGTTTTGCGAGTTACTGTACTGGTTGTATTGTAGGAAATTGTATTCCTACTTCAGGAAAATTGGAAATTAAATCACGTGAACCCTGTCTGTAGCAAACTGTAATAATCACACAGCTGGGGAAAGAAGGACACGCTGCGTGCATCAGGGCTCCGAGCTGCAGCAACAGGCGTCTGCCTGAGGAAGCTGACGGGAGGGTCGCTGTGAGACCTTCGGGGGCGCGGGAGCGTCCGAGGCCTTGGGCAGGGGTGGGAGCCAGGAGCTGGGAGACGCGTCAGCTCCTCTCCCTGGTCGGGGTTCATGTGTGTGTGCGGGCAGTGCTGTCCCTGCAGGAACAGAAATGCACGTAGCGGCAGAATGTGGCCCTTCCCTGCTCCGAGTTCACCCGTAGTTCTGGCCTTTGGAGGAACTGACTGACTCACTGTTGTTCGTCTCAGTTACAAATTATGAGGGACGTTCGCTGGTCCGGGCTGGGTCTGCCGTCCACCCCCGCCCGCTTGGCGTGACAGGAGCCAGACACAGGCAGGACCTGGTCCGGGACCCTCCGCCACCCGCGGGCTCAGGGGAGGGGCAGGTCCGGGGCTGTCGGCCTGCTGGGGGCTCCTCAGACGCCCCGATGGTGCTCTCGCCTCCCCTCCACCCCTGCCTGTCTGGTCCTAACTGCCTCGTAAGCAGGAGGGGCGGGGAGGTGAAAAGGGTCAGAGGTTTAGGACTACTCGATGTTTGAAGCCGCAGGCCCTCCCCTGGCTGCGGGAATCCTCTGAAGCACGGCGCTGAGGCTCCCGCGCTAAATGGCCGAGTGACTTCCTGAGACTCTCCTTTACGTTTCCTGGCTGGGGGACCAGGATGATGACAGACGGTGCTATTTTAGGTGGTGTTTTTGATGGGAAATTTCCATTTTAGAGGACTTTATTTGATAAGTATTTATAATTCACTTCTGGTAATAATGAACCACCCATTTGCAGTGGTGAACTTTTACTTGGGTCTTGGAAAAGTGATGGTAACAATTATGGATTTAACACTTAGTTCTAAAACTTTCTGAAATCAATGAGCAATTAAGCTTGGCAGGCACGTGAGAGGAAGGATGCAGGAGGCTGTACCCCAGATAAAGGGATGTCTCTGTAGGAAGGGTTCCCAGGTTTGTGGGGTTACTTTAAGGTCTCTTTCCTAAGGCTCACTGCAGATCAACTCACCTAGTCTGTACATTTATTTATTGCATTTTACAGTACTGAAAATTTGATCTATTAGTATTTTTTAATATTCCAACTATAAAGAGGAATGAGGAAGCCTCTCATAAATACACATATAATTTCTTTTAAATGAGGAAATTATGGTGAAAAGAAGATGAGGGTAGAAACAATAAGACAGTGTAAGAAAAAAGATTAATTTGTTCACAAAATTCATGCCATAAAGTCCGGTGGACTTTCATCTCTCTGATAATGCACTTGCATGCAGAGTATCTAAAGAACTCTTACAACTCAACAATAAAAAAACCCCCAAATGACCCAGTTTTTTAATGGGCAAAGAATCTGAATAGATGTTTCTCCAAAGAACATACACAAATGGCCAATAAGCACATGAAAAAGTTCTCAGTATCATTAATCGTCAGGGAAACGTACATCCAGACCTTAGTGAGATACCACAGGGATGATTTGTAAAAATGTTCACCATTTCTGTGGGTTGTCTTTCCACCTTCTTGATGGTGCCCTTTGAAGCACGAAAATCTTTCATTCTGATGAAGTCCAGTATGTCTTTTTTGTTTTCTGCTGCCAGCCACATGGACTTTTGGTGTCACTTCTGATAAGTCAGTGCCTAATCCAAAGTCGTGAAGATTGATGCCTATGTTTTTTCTTCTAAGAGTTTTACAGTTTTCAGCTCTTACGTGTGGGTCTGTGGTCCATTCGGAGTTATTTTCTGCACACGTGTGAGGTAGGGGTCCGACTTCCTTCTTCTGCATGTGGATGACCATTTCTCTGGGAACAGTTCCTTCCTAGTAGAGGAAACATCGCCAGTGATCCAGCTGCAAATCTGAGCATAATTGGGAGGGTGGGGAAGAGAGTGCAGGGGCCGGGGAAGAACGGGTGAAATCCTCCTCAACAGGGCGAGTCAGTAAGTGAAGCCGAGCACGGAGAGTCGCGTGAGAGCAGCGCGAGCGTGTTGTGTAGAAGCCCGGGGGCGACCGACCGCGCGCAGGACGTGCAGGTGGTTGTGCCGACTGGTTAAAGGGGGCACCGGGGTGGCCCAGGCGGCTGGGTTCATCACAGAGCTTTGAAAATCCGCAGTTAGTGAGCATAATTTGATTAAGAGATTAAAACTTTTAAAAAAGACAATCATGGGAGATTCTGTGTTTGTTTTGGCCTCTTGCCACGTGGCGTGGGGGATCTCAGTTCCCCGACCACGATCGAATCTGCGCTCTCAGCAGTGAAAGCACCTGGTCCTAAGCACTGCACCGCCAGGGAATTCCCAGGGGTGATTCTGAATAAGGAGAGTACTGGGGGGAGACCAGTCCTGTCAGAGACTGAAATGTATCCTCTAACTACACTAATTAGACTTGCGCCGGAGTGGCACGCAGGTGGGCAGGAAGATTAGTGGGACAGAATCTGGAGCCCAGATTGATTCAAGCGCTTAGAAGAGTTAACGTGTGGTAAAGGTGGTATTTTAAATCTGTGGGAAAGGATATTCATTTAAGGGTGCTGGAGTCTAAGGGGACAGCCTTCAGGGAAAATATGAAGTTGGGTCCACGCTTCACACCCACTTTGAACCAGAAGGATCAGAAACTTAAATAAAGTAAAATCTTCCAAGTACTAGGAGGAAAAACACAGCTCACACACACGAGGAAAGGAGCGGGAGGGTGTGGGAAGAGGTGTGGGTGCAGGGGCTCAGGGCGCATCAAAGCCAGGAGCCTGCAGTTTCAGAAATCCTGTTTAAAACCTTGGAGTTTGCACCATTTCTTTTCTTAACCCTAGGGGTGTATTTTAGGAGTACTACCTTGAGATGAAGAAGCATTTATCTTCTGTTCCTAATAGCCACAGAGATTGACAAGTTTGTATTAAAATATGAGGAAGAGTTTATTTCTCTTCTGTTAAATACACATTAAACCTAATGTTTTTTTGTTACAAGTAGCTGTGAACTATGATGTGTTTTAAATAAAATGTCATTTCAACTACGTATGCATTAACCACTGATGCTTCCTTAACTTTTAAAATGGTTACTTCTGGACAGTGGGATTTTTTTTCCCACTTTCTTTGTAATTCTCTGCACTGTGTTATTCTTTTAGTAACTTTGTATCATTGTTATAAAAACAATGAAGACAGTATTCCAGCTGTAAAATACATAATCCTATTAAAGAACAAAGAGCCAGTACTTCTGTCCCTCCACTGTGCGGGATAGTTGAGAACACATTCTCATCCTGGCAGCGCACACAGATCCACCGCCTTCTGTGTGGAGTGGTTAGGCGGAGGGCCACCGGGACGTGTAGCTGCCCCGAGGGGATGAGGGGACGGACGCTGTGTGGTCCGTCCCTGAGGCCTGAGCAGGTTGGGAGCCTTCGAGGTACCCTGGGCTCTGGCGGAGGGGGGCCTTCAGGTGGTGGGGGCAGTGTTCCTCATACCGTGGGTGGCTGGACTGTCTTGTGGCTTCTGCTTCTCCTACATTTGGTTTGAATGTGAACCTCACAGGAGGCGTGTGAACCGATGGAGGGCAGGACCCAAGGCTTTCTTTACTGTCTCAGCCCCACAGGGCCTGGAGCGTTGGCTGCTTGGAGAGTAGCCCTCTAGGTGCTTGAGAAGCGAAGTTAGTTAATGGGAGATGTTTCGGGACGAACAGCAGAGCAAAGCAAAGGTCACACACTCTGCAGATAGCAGTTAGGAGCTCACCCAGATGCTCCCGTCAGATTCATAAGCTGGGATCATGCAAGTTTCAACTTCTGAGAGCTGGTACAGAAATTGTCGTCTTTGTATAAGGAGGAGCCTGTCAAGCGGCAGTCTCCGTGGACACCGACCTTGGCCTCTCTCTTGCAGGTCTACCACACTTTGTTCTGGCCTCTCGAGTGGACAGTGGCCTGCAGAGACAGCAACACCTGTTACGCGAAGATTATCTACAGTAAATTCGACAATGTACGTCATACGGTTGGAAGCAGGAATGTTCTAATTGTAAAACAAATCTTTTATTCTATTATTTGGGTTTTTATAATCTCTTTAACGATAGCTCTAAGGGCCAGGTGGAAATCCGTGAAACTGTTACCCAGGCACTGTGTCTGAAGAGTGACAGCTGGGCAGTGACTTACCTTTTCAGAGTCATCGGAATGTGTCACTCCAGAGCTGTCTACCTTGGCAGTTTAGAACCACAGGATCTGTGAAAATTTGGGTCATCGGTGATGAAATGTAAGGAGTATGTTTGTGTACATTTGGAAATACAGGCATACCTCGAAGGTATTGTGGTTAGGTTCCAGAACACTTCAATAAAGGAAATATCACAATAAAGTGAATCGCATGAATCCTTTGGTTTCCCAGTGCTTATAAAGGTTATGTTTACACTATACGGTAGTCTCTTATGTGTGCAATCGCGTTACGTCTAAAAAGACAATGTACGACCTTAATTTAAAAATATGCTAAAAAACCCTGACCATCACCTGAGCGTCAGCCAGCTGTAGCCCTTCTGCTGGTGCAGGGTCTCGCCTCCGGTGCTGGCGGCCGCTGACTGATCAGGATGGAGGCTGCTGAGGCTGGGATGGCTGCGGCCATTTCTGAGAACAAAGCCACCATGAAGTTCGCTGCACTGATGGCCTCTTCCTTTCGTGAATGATTTCCCTGGAGCAGCAATGCTGTTTGGCAGCATTCTACCCACAGAACTTCCTTCAAAACTGGAGTCAATCCTCTCAAGCCCCGCAGCTCCTCGACCAACGAAGCTTGTGTCACATCCTGAGGCCTTTGCTGTCATTTCAACTACCTGCACAGCCTCTTCACCAGGAGCGGGCTCCGTGCTAAGAAAGCGCTCTCTTTGCTCATCCATGAGGAGCGGCCCCTCATCCGTTCCCAGGTTTCATCGCAAGATGGCAGCCATTCGGTCCCATCTTCAGGCTCCACTTCTAGTTCTGGCTCCCCTGCCGTGCCCACCACGTCTGCAGTCCTTCCTCCATGAAGTCTCGAACCCCTCAAAGTCATCCAGGAGGGCTGGAATCAGCTTCTTCCAAACTCCTCTTCATTTGGATATTCTGACCTCTTCCCATGAATCACAAGTGTTCTTTTTTTTTTTTTCTCTTAATTTGTATTGGCCACGCCATGCGTGTGAGGCACGTGGGATCTTAGTTCCCCGACCAGGGATCGAACCCGCGCCCCCTGCACTGGAAGCACGCAGTCCTAACCACCGGACCGCCAGGGAAGTCCCGCAAACGTTCTTAATGGCATCTAGAACGGTGAATCCTTTCCAGAAGGTTTTCAGTTTACTTTGCCCAAATCCACCAGAGGAATCACCGTCTATGGCAGCTACAACCTAACAAAGTGTATTTCTTACATAATAAGACTTGAAAGTCCACATTACTTCTTGATCTACGGGCTGCAGAAAGGATGTTGTGTTGTCAGGCATGAAAACAACATTAATCCCATCGTCCATCTCCATCAGAGCTCTTGGGTGACCAGGTGCGTTGTCAGTGAGCAGTGACCTACTGCCCCTTTCTTGTACTTTTGTCCAAATTTCCATTTCTGGAGTGTCACGCCACCACTCACTGTCTTCCTGGAGCTATGCTGAAAATCACGGACAGGCTTCCATCTCTCAGAAGCTCCTCACTTTCATCAATAAGTGCCTTCCCCCTCTCTGGGCCGCGCCTTCTCCCACTTTGCTGCACGTGCACCCCTCAAGCGTTCCCGTCCACGGCCCCCTGGGAGCGCAGCTCACAGGGTATCCGTTTGCCCACCTGCCACGGGAGTCTGGAGAGTGGGGGGCACAGACTCCTGCCGCCTGTCATGCCCTCTCTCTTCACCTTGTGCACTTTAACCCTGAAGCTCTGGATGAAGAAAAGTGATGCGAAAACATGGAGAGAGGAAGCCTGAGTCCCGGGAGTGCACAGGGACGAACCCGCGTCCCCCGGGGCTGCATGCGCGCAGGGACGAGAGCCGCGCGTCCTTACGGCTCGCGGTCCCTGGGGTGGGGTGTCTGCTGAGCCGACTCGGAGCCGGGCAGCCTGCGTCCTGGGCTGGGAGTAGCGCCTGCTGCCTCCGAACTTAGCCTTATTCCAGCACCGGCTGTTAGTCGGGTTTTGTCGTGTTGTCATTTAGCGCGCTCTCAGTGTAATGCAGAAACGTCCATCATACTGACAAACTCCTTTGCGCAGCAGGTAAATTGCCCGTTCCGGTAAAGCTGAGCGCGTGTTCACACAGGATGTGCATTTACTGGCTCACCCAGCGGATTCTCGCAGGGCACGGTTTCGTGGTGCTCTTCTCTGCTCAGTTCAGCATTAGAGGTGCTTTTCTCTGGGAGTTGCTGTCAGTTTCAACGGTGAACTTGGGATGACAAGATCCCTCTTCAGATCCTTAACCTACTGGCTTCCCTTTGGAAGGATCGGGTGATAGGATTTCACGTCCTTGGACCGAAGGCCGGTGAGATCACCCAAGGATTTGCAGCCGCCATGAAATGTGGGCTCACGAAGCAGCTGCTGGACGACACCATTGGGATCCACCCCACGTGTGCACAGGTACGGACACGGGAGCTTGTAGATGTGGACTCGGTGTGGTTTGGAAAACTGTGATGAAGCATGTTGTCAACAGACAAATTTTATATTCATAACTGCTCTGTATGCCTTAAAGGATGATGTTGATGTCACGTTCAGGACATGGTTTCTTAGAGCAGAGCTCCAGTACCGACAGCTAAGTGTGAATCCGTGTTGTTTCCTTCCCGTGGGCAGGTGTTCACCACCCTGGAGATCACGAAGTCATCGGGGCTGGACGCCACGCAGAAGGGCTGCTGAGGCTAAGCCGCTGTCGCTTTCCTTGTCCCGCTCCCGTTTCTGTGAACACGGCATGCTCTCGGGTAAGCCCGGGGACAGCGTCGGGGCAAGGAGGCGGGACAGCAGCAGTGCCGTCCACCCGCCTGGCTGACGGGGAGGGGCAGCCACGCTGCGTCCTTGACGTCTTAGCTCGGAGCCGCCAGGTGAGCCAAGACTGACGTCTTCCCCATCAGCTCCCCCGACAGAGCTTTTAATCACACAACTCATCTAAGTCCACGTTCCGGTTGCTACTGTTTTTATCCCCTTGCTTTCCTGAGTCCACGGAGATATTTCTCTCATGAAACTGACTGTAAAGTGGGCATCTCCAGCGCATGGGCGTCTGGGGCGGCCCCGTAGCTGCCACAGAGCACCAGTGCGCCACCTTCTCCCGTGGGTGCGTGCGCAGCCGCCGGCAGGCCTCCTCACCCTCTTCTGGTTCCCCACAGTGACCACCTGGCCGCTTTCCTCTTCGTGTCACTGGACTGAGCAGAATATCTCACGTCAGAGAGAGGTGCTTGGACTTCTCATGTGGATCTTAAGAATAACATCAAAAAGTTCTCAATACTGTATTACGTGAAATGTAATTTAAAACTTCTTTATTTTTTTGAGGTACGCGGGCCTCTCATTGTTGTGGCCTCTCCCGTTGCGGACCACAGGCTCCGGACGCGCAGGCTCAGCGGCCATGGCTCACGGGCCCAGCCGCTCCGCGGCATGTGGGATCCTCCCGGACCGGGTCACGAACCCGTGTCCCCTGCATCGGCAGGCGGACTCTCAACCACTGCGCCACCAGGGAAGCCCTAATTTTAAACTATTTAAGTGGTTGTTCTCAGTCTGTTTCCTTACAGTCGGGTTCAGTAAGTGAACAGGTCATGTTACGAGATTCCTTTTGAGTTTGCACCCCTGTCAGCATTTAAAAGGCCCTTGAGGTGGGAGGCCCACCCGGGGCCCTTTGGGAACCTTGTTTTCTTGGGAGCAGACTCCTCCAGCACCAGGTTGAGGGTTCCAGGCGGCAATGCCCTCCTGGGCCGTAAGCTGGCTGCCTGCTTCTGTGGTTAGAACATCTGGGCCTACGTTTTAAAAGACGCTCTAAGCCAGGAACCAATCGGGGAGCATCATCTGTGGGCGGGGCCGGGGCGGGGGTTGGGCACCCAGAGTAACGCACACAGGGTCCACTTACAGACCCATCTTTCCACTGGGGAGGCAAAAGCAAGAGAGGCGGGTGGAGTGATCGGGTCGTGTGTGCCCAGGGTGGCACGGCGAGTCGGGCAGGGGCCGGGCTCTCACCTGGCACGCCCACGGCCAGCCCAGCCCTTCACAGACCCAACCCCCGTGTGAGCTCAGAGGGGCCGACAGGGCCCTGGGAGCGTGCCGATGCTCCCCTGATGCTCCTTCTAAGCCGTAGTCCAAGAAGCCATGGCCCAGAGAAGAGTCAAGGGAACCTAAATCAGGCTTAAGGCTGTGGACAGCCTGCTGGGAAGTCCAGCTCCTGCAGAGCCCTGGAGGCCCGTGTGGACCCGTCCACCTCCCTCCCAGGCTCCTGGGAGTCTCCTGACAGCACAGCGGTCTCTGCAAACCTCCTCCTCCGTCTCACTCTCCCTTTCTTCTGTGACCGCGAGGTTGGGCCCGCGCGGACCTCTGGACCAGGCTGGCGTCCCCAGCACTGCTCGCCCGGGGACGGGACACCACAGGCCCCAGGCCAGGCGTGACCGCCCGGGCCTGAAAGGCTGCCCCCACCTCAGGGCACGAACAGCTCCGGGGAGGTCCCTGCAGGGCTCCCCTGGGACCAGTCGGCAGCTCAGACCTGCCCTGTCCTGCGTCCCTCCCTCGGCAGGTCCCTCGACTAGAACCCGCATCTCGGGGCTGCTCCGGGGACCCCAGCTGACACGCTCCCCACGTGTTCGCTCGCAGATAAAGGCCTAGGACATCAGGGCAGGAGGAGATCTTGCTTTTTACACCATTTGCCTCTCCTCTCCTCTAGTCCCCACTTGGGACACAGGCGCCCTGGCCACGCTCGCCGTTGCTAGGCCGGTGGCGACCCTGATGGTTCTGAGCCCGGCAGGGCCTCCATGGGGCAGCAGGCCCCGGAGCTGCGCCCTGACCAACCGTACTCCCCTGCGTTGGCCCAGCCCGACGGTTCCGGGGCTGCAGCTAGGGCTCAGTCAAGGTCAGCCAGCAGGCCCCGGAGGTGCGCCCTAACCAACCGTACTCCCCTGCGTTGGCCCAGCCCGACGGTTCCGGGGCTGCGGCTAGGGCTCAGTCAAGGTCAGCCAGAAAAGGAGCTCTAACGCCACCAGGGCGAATTGTTCGCTATTTCTTGGCCTTCTCTTGCACTTAGTCTGAAGGAGGGCTAGGGGGCTCTGCCACCAAACGTGTAGGTGTGGGTGCTCCCGTCCGGGGTCCTCGAAGCTGGAACGCCCGCCAGCCCAGCCCTCACGCAGCTGCCCTCACGGCCATGCCCCGGCCAGCAGGGCTTCAGGCTGGATTCCAACCCACGTGGCTTGGTGGCTGCAGTGTCACTGATTGTGACCTCAGGGGCTTCTGATGCTGCAATGAGCCTGTGGGCCTGGCCCCTGGGGCCCTGGGGCCAGTGCTCACCTGGTGCACGGCAGCCAGGACCGTAGCCAGCGTCTCCCCCCCCCCCACCCCGCTCTGGCGTCATTCAGGCGGCCCAGTGAGTAGCTGGCCCCTTGGGGGGTTCGCTCACCCACTCCTTTCTGGCTGCAGGCGCCCTGCTGGGGGGCTGGCTTGGGGGCATGGGCAGTGGCCCTCACATCGGCATCTTCCTGGGCAGGGTCAGTGCCAGGCCCTGCGATCCGTACCCTGACTGGGTCCCTGCTGGGAGCGGGGAGGCAGCCTGTGTGGCTGGGAAGGGCAGCCCCAAGTCGGCTTGGGGAGCAGCAGTGGGCCGGAGGCCTGCCCCGGACCCGGCAGGGCCCTCCTGCCCCGCGGGAAGCAGGCTTGGCACAGTTTGCAGGGCCAGGCCCAGGGCTTGGAGGGTCTGCAGGTGGGGCCCAGTGGGCGTGGGGTGCTGTCGCCCAGCCCCTCCAGGACTGCGCCACGTGGCCCAGACACAGCCTGGACCCCACCTCTTCCCCACGTGCTGGGGGAGGGGGGATGCAGGCAGAGCAGTTAACATTTTTTTTTTTTTTTTGGTGGTACGCGGGCCTCTCACTGCTGTGGCCTCTCCCGTCGCGGAGCACAGGCTCCGGACGCACAGGCTCAGCAGCCATGGCTCACGGGCCCAGCCGCTCCGCGGCATGTGGGATCCTCCCGGACCGGGGCACGAACCCGCGTCCCCTGCATCGGCAGGCGGACTCTCAACCACCGCACCACCAGGAAAGCCCAGCAGTTCACCTTTTAGAGCCTCAGTTTGCTTACCTGAAAATGGGATGATGGTAATATGTCCTCCATCAGATGGAAACATTAAACAAGGTCCTGCACGGAGCTTAACAGGCACTTCACCTCCTGTGCGGACCCAGCCCTGTCCTGGACCAGGGCCCTCTCCTGGCTCCTCGGGGGAGGGGGGCTGAAAGCTTTACCTGATAGCAAAGGGCTGGGGGCCAGGGCCACTGACAGGTCCCTGGTGTCCTCGTAACAACCCTGGTCCCACGTCAGAGGCCGCAAAGGCCCCCTAGCCTGCGCTGGTGTAGAGCTGCCCCGTCCACACAGCCCTTTGCCAGCGGCAAGTCAGGGTCAGGAGGACTTCCTGGTGGGGCCCGGCCTCCGGGACGCTGTGCTCGGGGCTCACAGGCCAGGGCTTCCCGCGTGGCCTTGTCCAGGTGCTCTGTGCCCAGTGGGGCCATCCAGCCTCACGGCCAGCACGCTCTGTCACAACGCCGGGGCACCTGCCCCAGGCAGCCCTCGAAGCCCTCCGGGGGAGCAGCCTGGCCCATCTCTCCACCTCTCCCCCAGGAGAGAAAACCCAATCCCCACTGGGACAGCGGCCTCCTGGGAACCCAGACCCCAGGCTTGGGAAGGGGCGCCTTGTTTCCTGGCGGCTTTGCTCCAGATTTCAGGAGATCCATTATCATGCAAAGTGTTGTCACGGAAACCCAGCTGCTGGGACTACAGAGGGTTGGGTGGGCAGCCCCAGCCTGGGATGGGGGGTGGGCTTCAGGTCTGACAGGGAAGGAGGAGCCAGCAGCCAGTGGCTGCCCTGCTCCAGAGGGGTGGGGCGGGGGGAGTGATGCTGGGGCCAGACGGCCTGTGTGTGTGCTCGCGCTTGTCTGTGGTCAGACGCGGTGCTGGGGGGACCTGACCAGCCTTCGCCTTCTCCACCTGGTTCCTGGCGGCTCAGCCAGTCCCACGACGGGGGACAGGTGCGTGCTGCTGTGAGATGCCTTACTTGGGAGCAGCTCCCGCGGCTCGGTAGGGGTGGGAGGTGAGAAGGGGGGAAAGAGGCACTCCATGTAGTGTCCCCACGGTGGGCAACTCCGCCCAGTCCTGCCAGGTCCTCCGCGGGCCGTGCTGTGGGGAGCGCGCCCCGGAGCTGTCCTGGTCAAGGGGCCGGGCAGCCCGGCTTTCCTTCCCCACCCCGTCCCTGCGTCGCCAGCGGGGCTGCTTCCAGGGCACTGGCTCCCGGGAACCTGTCTGGCCCGGCGCAGTCAGACCCGCCCGCCAGGCACGTCCGTGGGTGGCTGACAGCATGCACCCGATCCCCACCTGGAACCAGGGCCTCGGCCGGCGCTTCGGGACCTCCCACGCTGGGAGCCGCCGCGCCTGTGGAGCACGGGGTGCCGGCAGGTGGCCGGCATCGGCCCACGAAGTTCACGCACGTGCGGAGGAGCTGGCTGTGGGGACCACGGTGTAGCCACATTAGCACAGCCGCTGGGGTCAAGGGGCACATGAAGCCCCAGTGGTCAGGGCTTAACCCCAGCCCTTCTCAGCCCTGACTTGGGTTACCCTTACTCTTGGGTGCCTTAAAAGAGAACCACTCGTAACTGCTGGGCAGGGAAAATGACCCAGCGACTCGAAAACCACGTGGCAGTTCCCTTTAAAACTAAAAATGGGCCTCCGTCAGCCTGGTGACCGCACTCCTAGGCGCCCACAACAGAGAAACAAAGTCTTGTCTTCGTGCAGAAACTTGTACGTGAACATCTGCAGCAGCTTTATTCGTAACACCTCCAGCCTGGGAACTGCCCCGGGGTCCCGTGGGTGACAGTGGGTCCAGCTCAGCCCTGGGCGGGAGCCCCCGCAGACCCAGCCCTGCGACGGCAGGAGGACGCCAGTCTCCAAAGGGCGCCGGCCACGCGATCCCACCCGTACAACCCCGTGCAGCCACGTCCTCACACAGAGGGGGGCAGATCCGTGGTGGCCGCGGCTGGGGTGCGGTGGAGGGAGGATGTGGCTGCCGGCAGGGGAGCAGCCGGGAGCCTCCTCGACCGTGGGGCGACACGGAGCCGCACACGGCATAGAACCGCATCGAGCTGCACGCTCACACACACACTCATACACACGTACACCCTAACACACACACACACACACACAGACACACATACACACAGCAGAGCAAGCATCCTGGAGCGGGGTGCTGAGGCGGGGCCCCGGCTCACCAGCAGCTCACAGCCCTCCCCTCGGCCTCATCTCCTCGGCAGACAAGGGCGGGCGGTCAGTCAAAGGGAAGCCATGCCATCCAGGTCCCGACTGGCTCCTCCCGCCTGTCTTCCAGCTGTGGCTGAAGGGCGAACCCCAGCTCAGCCCCCTTCTGCGATGGACGTGAAGGCCCCCAAGGGGTCCCACCAGGGTAAGAAGAGTAAGAACAGGACCGAGGAGAAGTTTGCCAGGAAGTTTCCGTACAGGTACCAGACCCTGAGCGTGGACTCTGACCCCTGACCCCAGACCCTAACCCTGGACCCTGAGCCCAAGCCCTAACCCCGAGCCCTGAGCCCAGGCCCTGAGCGTGGACCCTGACCCCTGACCCCAGGCCAAGCCCTGCCTCCCCGCAGGCACCCCAGGAACGCACTCTGGGGCGCAGAGCTGGAGCGGGGCAGTCCTCTGTCCACAGGGAGCTCCCTGACCAGCTCTGCGCTCTGTGACGCGGTCCACCTTCGCCCCCATCCCACCCTGAGCCAAGGGCCTCCAGAGAGGGGCCCAGGGCCCCTGGGCCCCCCCCGAGCCATGGCCAACCGCTTCCTTTGGGCCAGTGGCCCTGTCACCCGTTCACAGCACCTGCTCCTGTGAGGGTGTGATGGGATCCGGCTGCGGGAAGGGGGGGGCCGGGGGAGGAGTTTGCAAAGCCCCAGGGCACTCAGGAGCCAGCAGAGGCCGCTGTGTGCTGAGCAGGCAGGCGGGGCCTGGGAGGCAGTGGGAGGACTGCCAGCTGCTCAGAGCGGAACCTTTGGGGCACACGGCTTCCTCTCCAGCGCCCGCAGCAGGCGGGGCTGGACACCTCACCTCCACCCTTTTTCTGTCGCCAGGCCCCAGACTCTGTCCTGTGAGGCCCAGTGTGGCAGACGCACATGGCAGAGTGGCCCTTACGTGAAGCAAGGGGAGCCTTACACCTGGGGCCTGGGGCTCCCGGGGCCAGGCCACTGCTGCAGGGCCGAGACATAACTCTGGGCCTGCTGCTGGCCCAGATCTCAGCTCCTCTGCTTCCTAGCTGTGTGACCTTGGGCAAGTCACTTAACCTCTCTGTGCCTCAGTTTCCCCATCCATAAAGGGCAGAGCAATACCTACCTCCCGGCATGGTTATCAAGCACTCAGAGCAGCGCCTGGAACGTGGAAAGTTCCAGGCGAGCGAGAGCTATTCCACATGGCTGGGCTGTAGCCCCCAAAGATGCCAAGTGCTCCTGTAGGTTTTCCTGGCTGACGGAAACCAACGCGGAGCCCCTGCAGCCCTGGGAGGTCACGAAGACGAGCAGCTCGCTGCGGGAGCAGCTGCCCCTGCAGAAGACGTTGGTGCCCACGAGGTCCGTCCCGGTCAGAGGGTGAGTCTCAGGCCGGATGTCACTGGCGCTGCCTGCGGACCGTGCCGCCCGGCCTTCCACCTGGTCCACACACGAACACACTACGTCCAGGCTGAGGAAACTGGAGCCCCGGGGAGACACTAGAGCCCGCGGTCCCTCCCGCAGCCGGCAGGGCAGCTCGGGCGGGCCTGGCCTCATCTGGGGCCTCGTCCACGGGTGGGGAATCAGGGCTGAGCATAGAGTGGAGGAGAGCCAGCTCTGGGGGTTGGAGGGGCCGGCAGGGGACCCGCACTGGGCAGCGCGCGCGCACACACACACACACACACACACACACCGGGGGTGGGGGGGACGACACGTAACGAAACACCCAGACACCCTGATAAGGACCCCGCACATGCAAACCTAAAGACGCACAGACACATCCACCCGCCCTGAACCGGGACTGGCACTCAGGTGTTAGACACAGAAGGGCCTCCCCGCTGCCCCCCAGGACCCCAGCCCCAGGCCCACGGCCTGCGACTCCTCCAGCAAAGAGACGTGAGTGGGCACGCAGGTCCTCAGAGCTGAGGCCCCTGGCTCCACACTCCGTGTATAACCCTGGCGAGTCACAAAGATGCACACCATACCCTGAACGGACACCCCGAGAGGCAGCGCACAAGTGCACACCCGCACACGCACCCCTACAGAAGCGCAGATGGTGCCCATCCCCCACCCACGCTGGCCCAGGCTGTGGTCCTGCGTCTCAGCACCCCTACCTCACTGACAGGCTGGGGGCTGGGGGCACAGGTGTCGCTGGGTCTCAGCGTCTCCTGTGAAGGGGTCAGGCAAGTCACGGTCCTGTGTGGCAGTGAGGTTGTGCGTGGCCGGCTCCTTTGTGCTGGACGGAGGGAGTCTGAGGCCTGCCCCCCTGGACTGCCCTCCCTCACACCCTGAGCCCCTTGCAGCGGGTAGACCACCAGGTGCTAAAGGCCAGCGCTTATCTGAGGGGTAATGGGAGCCACTGAAGTCTGGGAAACAGGAGTGGGAGGGTGCTCTCACGTGGAGCTGGGGAGGGTGGTCCAATGGCGGCGGAGTGGGGAGCCTGGTCCACGGGGAGCAGGGAGCTTGGTCCAATGGGGAGCTGGGGAGGGTGCTCCACTGGAGGAGGTGGGGAGCTTGGTCCAATGGGGGAGGTGGGGGGTGTGGTCCAATGGGGGAGGTGGGGAACGTGGTCCAATGGGGAGCAGGGAGAGTGGCCCAATGGGGAGCTGGGGAGGGTGGGCCCGGGAGGTGGCTGGGGAAGGTGGTCCCCGGAGGTAGGAGTCCGCACGATGTCGGTCCCTCCCAAGATGGGCAGGCATGGGGCAGAGCGCGGGAGGCGTCAGGCTGCTGGATGTCTAGGCGGGTGGCTGTTGGGAGGCGGCGTGTCCGCGCTGGGAGCAGAATCTTGGTTGCGCCCCGGCTGACTTCTCTGAGGGGGGTTGGGGAGGCTCCCAAGGGTCAGCGCGGCGCTCTGTGTGGCTTCTCTAGGCTGGGGGCCCCGGATTTCCCTCCACTGTCCGGCCTCCGGCCGCCACCGTCACCACCAAGCAACGTCTGGGAGCTGGTGCTGCTGAGCCGCCGCTTCCCCGGGTCCGCGCTTCCCCCCACCGGCCGATGCCGCCCGCCCCCGCGGGGGCCCCTCCTGGAGCCCAGCTCTGCGCCGCCTCTCTCTCGGCCACCCGTTCCCCGGGCGCTCAGGGCAGCGGCTCCGGGAGCTCCCTTCAGGCTAAGGTGACCTGTGGGGAGGCGGGCAGCCCTGAGGAGCCCCGGAAAGGTCGCCCCGCGAATACACGCTGCAGGTTCCCACCCCCTTGGAAGGTCGTCTGCATGTCCGGCTGTGTGTTCTCATCCATAAAATGGGGTGACGGTCAATTCTGCAGCGTGTGAATATCATTTCCAAGAATCTACCCCAAAGCTATGCTCACACACGTAAGTAAAGATGTTTGGACGATGATATTCATTCCAGCGCCGCAGGAAATAGCAAGTGATTGGAGGCCACCTAAATGTCTGTTAATGGCGGCTTTCAATCGTGCCACGGCTGCACCGCGAAGCATTAGACAGGCGTTAGAAAGAAGCAGCAGCCCTTTACATGCTGACCTGGAACAATCTACAGAGGACGTTCAGGTATTTTTTTAGAGCACAGCAGGGAGTGTCTAAAATGCTGCCATCTGTGTATATTAGAAAGCGGTGTGTGGGTGTGTGCATGTATGAGCGTGCACGTGTGCGTGGGCATGTGCACGTGGGTGCGAGTGTGGAGCAGGTAACTTTTGGGTAGAAAAGCTGGGGACTTGGAGACGGGCATACCGTTTTCTAAATGTTTACTGCGTGAACCTAACAACCTCGTTGTGGGTGTTTTACAACTCTAAAGAGAAGACTTGGGGAATGGAAGAGGGGCTCCCGGCCCGCTGCAATCCAGCCTGCGGACTCCCCTGGCATTCGCAGGAGCAGCATATGTGGGAGGGTGGCGGCTGAGCATGTAAAGGTTGCCCTCCGTTCTAGTAAGACAGGGGCTAGGACGTCATCTCGGAGCCTTGGGAAAGCACTCAGACTGGGACCCTCACTGTAGCCCTCCCCCTGGGAGAGAGAAGGGGGTGGGGACCCTGGGGAGGACCAGGGTGGCCGCCCTTAGCAATGTGGACAAGTGTCCATCTCTTTCCAATAGATGTTTGGTTGTTTCCACTCTTTGCTGTGGTGGGTGAGGCTGCTCTGAGCCTTCCTGTCCGGTCCTGTCCCCTGGCACGTTGTCTCCAGAGAAGACTTGCTGGCCAGAGTGCCCCTGAGCACCCACCCTCACCTGCAGGCACCACACTGTTTCCCGAGGGTCCCTCTGCACGTGGCCATGAGCAGCTGACAGACAGAGGCTCCTTCAGCCCCACCTCCAGGCTGCACTGGCTGTGGCTCCAGAGCGTTTAGGAAACGGAGCTGGAGGGCGCGTGGGGCAAAGCCGGTGGTTCTGTCGTAGAAAAAGCTCAGCCAGTCCCCTGAATCCAGTCCTAAAATGTGCTGCTCGTCAGGGGCTCCTCCCCTGCGAGTTCTCGCTAAAGAGAGAACGTTTAGGGAGTAAGGAACTCTCTGTTGGTCTCGATGTGTGCTGAGCGTTCGTACATGAGGTCCTCAGAGAAGAAAACGAGTTTTGGGAAGCACCTCACAGACAACGCGCGACACGCTGCATGTCTGACAGCAGGAGAGGCTGAGCAGGGTTCTCGGTGCAAAGTCACCCCACGGACCAGAGAAATGACCACGGTGGCCCGTGTGGCGCATGGGGCGTGTTGCCAGAGTGCAGGGGCAGCCGCCCAGACCTCGATTGTCCTGGTGCCCTGAGTGCCAGCAGAGCCAAACGCACAGCACAGGGCTGAGGACTGCTCCTAAGGAGGAGGTCGCGGGTGCCGGCCCGCCTTCCAGGAGTTTCTCCTACAGTCACACGCGTGCGTAGGACCAGGTGTGTGCAAGGACGCAGGTGTGCCTAAATGCCTATCGCTGAGGGACCAGTGAAATAAAAGCAAGTCTGCAGTGGGCAGTGGATCCTCCCCAGAGCGGGTCTGGAGACAGGGATGTGGATGCAACTGGTTCAGTTGGGGGGAGGTTCCAGGAAGCGCCACCGAACAGCAGGGAGAGCCTCACCGCAGGCACCTGGGGCTGAGTCCCGGGAGGCCTCGTGCAGTTTCCCACCTGAGGGGCAAAAGCTGCAGGGCCGGTCCCCTTGTTCCACCAGACGGGGCTGACGGCTTTTCCCTGGAAGCAGGCACTTCGAAGGGCGCTCCCTCTGCCTCCGCTGCGGCTGGAGAAGCTTCAAGGCGTGGTCCGGCGGGTGGGGGGTGGGGGTGGGGGGGGAAGTGGGGCTCTGCCTGGAGACGGAAAGTGCACCATCCCTCCAGGCCCAAAGAACCAGGGGGTTATTTTAGCAAACTTTTCAACCATGGAAATAGGCCTCCCAGGAAGCTGCTTGAATGACAAAAGCCACAAAATAAAACCGAAAACAAAACAAAAAACATAAACCAACACCACAACTACGAAAATCTGGGAAACATTTTCCTGACAATGAAAGCCCTAAAAAGCGAAAGAACACTGAAACTTCTTTTAAACAAGTCTTTGTAAACCAATCCGCCTACATCCCTTCCATCCCTGGGAAGGTGCTGACCGGCACCACCCAGTTCTGGAGACTGAGGAACTGGGAAAACGAGACAGTGGTGAGCAAGGTAGACGCTTGAGACCTTCAGCTGGTGATCTCAATCCCTTTAGGAACTTATGTCTGGTTTTAGTAGAATCCCTGACGGGGCTGCCTGATTGAGAGCCCCCTGGGCGCCCTCACGACTTGTCCAGCTCTGCCCATGAGACCCTGCCTCTCTCGGATCGTCCAGTGACCCAGCCGGGACCCCAGCTCTGGGAGGCTGGCTGACAGCCTGTGCTCTGGGAGGACAGGTGTTCTGGCACCAGCGAGAGAGCTCGGAGCAGGCAGATACCCCAAGGCAGGCGAGGGGAGGGCCGTGTGGCGGGCTGTGGAGAGTGTGACACGGAGACGGGGCGCGCGCACTGCTGCCCCACCTGAGGGAGTGACAGCACGCAGTGTCACGGCAGATCAGGAGGGTGACTTGTAATTGTGATGCCCCTGGGGTGTGGCTTCTGGATGGAGGTAACTCAGCAAACAGGTCACATCACAGGCTGCGTGGGTGCTGAGTGAGCTTGGAACAAAGCTGTGTGTCATCGGCGCATCGACGGCATGATGTAACACAGTGTGTGTGTAGCTTCTGAGGGGGGATCCTCATTGCCAAGCAGCCCAACACACACCACACACACACACACACACACACACACACACACACACACACACACCACAAACCCCAGGGCAGGAGGCAGCCCGAAGCGCAGGGCTCGGCTGAGCTGGTTTGGCTTTAAGCCTCGACCCAGGCAGAGTAAAAGGATAGGTTTCCCCCAAATGTCATTGTCGCCCCTTGAGCCAGAATGTAGCACGCTCCCCATGGTGTACCCCCTCCCTATCCCGCTCCCCACATAACCTCTGGTACCTGTGGGCTGCTGTGAAGGTGACCCAGGCTCAAGATCAGACAACCTCATGCCCCCAGAACAAATGGCAAAATGAGACACACAAACTCTAAAATGTCAGAAAGTAACAAAACACATTTACTTCAGAAACGTGAGCTCCCCAGCTCACCAAGGCCGTGTAAAGTCTGCCACGACGTTGCAACCTGGGCTCTGTGGGCTCAGGAAGACTGAGTGGGACAGAGACCAACGGTGGGGCCGGAACAGGGCCCTCGGGGAGCTCCCGGCTCGGGACGCCCAGGTGGCCGGCAGCTCACGATCGCCGCCTGGGCGGAGCTGGCGACAAGGCTGGTCCTGCCCTGGGTCCGGCCCGGGAAGGGGGGTGGCCTTCTCTCCTTGTCCAGGGCCGTCCTCACCAGGGCAGGTGAGGTGGGGAGGGCCCCGGGATGGGCCACAGGCTGCGCCGAGCCAGCGTTCTAACCTTGTGCCACGGATAGGTTCCGGGACAGAGTGGACAAAAAACAGGCGCTCATGGGCTTCTCTGGTGGCGCAGTGGTTGAGAGTCCGCCTGCCGATGCAGGGGACGCGGGTTCGTGCCCCAGTCCGGGAAGATCCCACATGCCGCGGAGCAGCTGGGCCCGTGAGCCATGGCCGCTGAGCCTGCGCGTCCAGAGCCTGTGCTCCGCAACGGGAGAGGCCACAACAGGGAGAGGCCGGCGTACCGCAAAAAAAAAAAAAAAAAAACAGGCGGTCGCAACCTAAAAACCTATTATCCCATCCTCAGCCACTCAGGGGTCCTGGGGAAGCACCCGCCGGCTGGGGCGCTTCGAGGAAGCAGGCGGCAGGCACCCAGGGGTCCAGCCAGCCCCCGCGGGGAGGTGGGCTGCACCAGGGCTGCATAGGGGATGCGGCTGGGCGGGGTGGGCGGGCCGAGGGTGAGAGAGCGCGGGGGCGGCGGCTCTCCGGGCGGAGTCAGGGCTCCGCAGCCTGCGCAGTCTCCGCGCCCCATCCCCCCGCCCGCAGGGCTAGCGCAGCCGCTGGTAGGAGGGATGGGAGTAGTTGAAGAGCAGGAAGTCCATCCTGTAGAGGCCGTAGAGGCGCTGCTGGTAGAAAGGGCTGATGTCGCGGAAGAGGCGCGCGGCACGGTCGCGCGCGGCGGCCTGGGCCCAGGACGGCGGCTCGGGGAAGCGCAGGCCGGGCGCGCCCACCAGGCTCAGCACAAAGGCCGCGTCCTCCGCCAGCGTCTCGAACTTGCCCACGACGTCGTAGCGCAGGCGGCACGGGTGGCAGAGCGCGTGGGCGCGCTCCCAGTGCTCGTTGAAGGGCCCGTCGCGGCGCGTGCGCGGGTCCAGCAGGTAGGCCAGGAACTCGGCGAAGCGCACGTCGTGGCCGCGGACCAGCGCGTCGGGGTCCGGGCGCGGCCGCAGACGGCGCACGATGCCGGTGCCGAAGCGGCGCTGGAAGGCGGCGCTCCAGGGCCGCTGCAGCTTGTTGCGGTAGGCCGAGGCCAGGCGCTCGAAGGGCTCGCGCACAAACAGGAAGGCCAGGTAGGCGCGCAGGCGCCGGTTGACCTCGGCCGGACTGAAGTCGGCCAGCGAGGGCAGGCGGCCGGGCGCGTGCGCCTCGTGCGCGGGGATGGCGCGCGGGTCTCCTGGGCCGCGGCCGCTCAGCGCCAGCAGCACGCGCTTCCAGTTGGTGCAGGCCACCTTGGGCACGTAGCAGTAGAGCAGGCCGTGCGCGTCGTCCACCAGCACGTGCCGCAGGTCCTCCGGCCGCAGCAGGCGCTGCCGGCGCGTGTGGTGGCTGCAGGCGCGGCGCAGCAGGTCGCGCCGCTGCCGGTGCACCTCGGCCAGCGCGGAGCGCGGGCCCTGCGGGGACAGGATGGGTGTGGGTCAGGGCCGCGTGGGAGACAGGGGGCCTGGATGGGGGGAAATGAATCTACCCGGCCTGAGGCACGTGCAGGATGTGACTGATCGCGTGCACGGCACTCTGGACCCCGAGAGCCGGAGAACGGACGTGCGACGTCAGAGTCAGCCTGGTAAAGAAGTCTGACGTCAGAGCGCCAAGCGCCGGGGCAAACTGAGTATCTGCTCACCGTTCCCTAAAACCGGGGTGGGGTGTAAGACCAGTAGCTTACACAGTAGTAACGTCCGGAGGATGGTGATGAGACCTGTGCCGTACCAGGGGCTGCTGGTCTCAGAGCATCTTGAGACATAAGCAGTGCGTGTCCCGATGGCTTAAATTGGCCTCAGCTAGCTTTTCTGTTGCTTGCAGCCCCATGAATACCAAGACAGGCACTGCTTTCACCATTTTACAGAAGAGAAAACAGCCTCAGAGGAAGTGGGTTGCCTGCAGCTGTCAAGGAGAGAAGCTGGGACTCCACCTCGGGTCCCTCAGGATTCAGAAGCCGGGGCTGTGCCCACCGGTTCGGGACAGAGTCCTACAGCCACAGCCCTCACCCCTGCCAGCCTAGCTGACCCTCAGCCAGGGTCTAGTCCTTACGAGCTCTGTGCCCTTCTCAGGGTCCTTGGCCTTCCTGTGCCAAGGCACAGTGCCATAGGTAAACGGGGATAATGACGCCCCATCGTACAGGATTGCCACGAGGCCTGCGTGGGCTCCCAGAACTCGAGTGCCCGGTGCACGGTCAGCACTTGTCGATCAGACCGTTTCTCTGCTGTTGTTTGTCCAGCTGCAGGATGCCTTGACATGTAACAGCCACTGGGCCCTCAGGCTGCGAGGGGGCCGAGCCAGCCCCACCAAGGCTTCGTGTTCCCTCAGAAGCCTGCTGAGAGGCTGGCCTGCCCTCCGCTCGCCGTGTGGCCCAGGGCAAGCCTGTCACCCTCGCTGAACCAAGGCCTCCCACCTGCCCCCACCAAGGGCGTGGGTGCCGTGGGCTCAGCCCTCAGGGCTTCGGTGAGCAGCCGCCTTCCCCAGCCCAGTGTGGTCCTTCTCCTCGGCTCCCTATTGCCCTTGCCCCGCTATGGCCCTCGGCCACCGCCACGTACTTGGTGCCCGCATCTGCATCTGCACTGTCCCTCTGCAGGCCCCGTGTCCCTTGCTCAGAGAGGGTCGGTCTCCATCTACACTGCGCCCTCCCGCCAGAGCTCAGGGCAGCCTGGACACAAGTCAGTGCAGGCCGGTGCGGGAAGCCATCAGATGCCATCCCCCCACCGCGGGACCGTCAGCGCCTCAAGGGCAGGGACCCAGGTGACCCGCGGGCGCTCGGTAGCGCTGAGTGTGTCTGCTGGGGTGTGTGTGAGCCGGACGTGTGCTCCCAGTGGGCACAGTGTGTGGTCCCTGCAGGTCCCCCCGTTGGTGAGGGGGCGCCCGCCTGTCTCCCTCTGTCACAGCAGGACTGAGATCGGGGGTCCCTTGGCTGCCACCCGTTGCCGCGGGTGGCACACAGCCCGCTGGTCGTTCTGTCCACCACGTGGAGCAGTGCTGCAGAGAGCGTGGCCTCAGTCCACAGCTGGAGACCCCAGGTCTCAGCCTGCCCCACGATTTGCCCTGCCGCAGCCCAGCATTCCCTCCCGGACAGAGGCTAGCTGTGGCTGCAGCCCCACGGCAGCAGGTCCACGTGGGAGCTCAGGGTTTCCTGTGGCTGGAGGCAGAGAGAGGGACGGGGCGTCTGTCCACCTACCTGGTCCAGGTCGTAGAGCATCTGCAGGGGACTCCTCCTCTTGCCACCAAGCCAGCTGGAGCCCACGGCCCTGTTTTCAAACGCTGGGGGTGCAAGGAGAGGGGCGTTCACTGCTGCACCAGACAGACTGGCCGTGTTCCTGGGGGCTTGGCCAACTCACCTCGGCACGTTGGATTCACCTCTGGGACTCAGTTTCCCGCCTGTGTCCCGCCTGCCTCTGGGGGCACTGACAGGGCCTGTCGTCCACCAGGGCAGGGTGCTTGGTGTCACTCCTGCCCCCACGTCCTGTCCTCCGGGAATGCCCTGAACCCCCAGCCTCTGCCACCTCCATCTGCCTTCATCTCACGCCCCACCTCTGCCAGCCACCTGCATGGAGCCCTGAGGGTTAGGGCTCAGCAGGCTGGCTGGGTCCAGCCTCCCCTGGCCCCGGGCACAGGCAGACAGAAATGGCTAGGCAGCAGCGGACACGGCACAGCCAAGCTGCCGGCTCTCTGGTGGTGAGCAGGTGACCAGCTCAGGTGACCCACAGGGGACACCTACAGTGGCCTGTACGTCCCCTGCTGGTGTGTGTGTCGCCTCATGGTAAATGCAAGTTTTGCTCTCGCCCAGACTGGCAGCCTCCGAGGGCAGGGATGCTCTCTGTCTCATCGCTGCATTCCTCAATCTTCCCGAAACTACCAAACACTCATGTTTTTATTAAATGTGATTATAGTTATTAATAAACTAATAAATTATAATGCAGTCTTTAAAGAATCACCCAAATTGGCAAGTCTCTGGCTAGACTGACCAAGAAAAAATGAAGACGCAAATTACTAACAACGGGAATGAAAGAGGAGACATTAGTAGTGGACCTTACAGAAATAAGAAAGGGTTGAAGAATACAATATAAGCACCTGTACAACGGCAGATTTAACCTATGAAACTGACAATCTAGAAAGACACAACTTTCTGAAACTCAAGGAGAAATAGAAAATCTCAACAGCCATATAACAAGTAAAGAGATGGAATTAGTAATTTTTAAAAAGTTTCCACAAAAGCCCAGGATCAGATTGCTTCACTGGTGAATTTTACCAAATATTTAAAGAAAAAGTAACACTAATCTCTACCAAACTCTTCAACAAACAAACAAGCAAACAAAACAGAAGAGGAGAGAACACTTCTCAATTCGTTATATGAACCTAGTTTTACCCTGATACCAAAACCAAAGATGTCACACAAAAAAAGAAAACTATATACCAGTATCTCTTACGAATATAGATGCAAAATCTTCAAGGAAGTACTAGCGAACTAGATCCATGAACATGTGAAAAGGGTTATACACCATGACCGATGGAGATTTACTCCAGAAATGCGAGGTTGGTTCAACATAAAAATATCAAGGTAATACACCATGTTAATAGAATAAAGAAAAAACCCCACATGGTCATCAAGAGATGCAGGAAAAACACTGCACAAAATTCAGTGCCGTTTCATGATGGAAACACTAAACAAACTAGGAATCGAAGGGAACTTCGTCAAACTGATAAAGGCCATCTGGGAAAACCCCACAGCTAACACACTTAACGGCCATAAAAAGGAGTGAAGGCTGACACCTGCTACCGTGTGGATGCACCTTGTAACCTGACACTGAGCTAAACAAGCCTCACGGAAGGCGCCAGCCACATTGTTTGACTCCCTCTGTACAAAACGCCCAGGACAGGCAAATGCATAGAGGCAGGAAGTAGATGAGTGGTTTCCAGGGGCTCTGGGTGGGATGGGGGGGAGGGGCAGGCAGGCAGGCACTGGGAACATGGGGGGCAGGGCTAGTGGCTAAGTTCTGGGTTTGTACAGCTGTGAGAGTGCACAGCTTTTGAATATGCTAAAAACCACTGTACACTTTAAAAAAGTGAATTTTATGGAATGAGAGTATTATCTCAATAAAAATAAATAGTATTGACCATAAAAAGTAATATATACAACAACGTGTAAGTCTGGTTTACAAATTTAAATACATTCAATGGATACTGAGAAATTATTGAATTCATAATAATGTGGGATATTCATAAGAGGAATGTCTTTAAGAATTCAGGATCATATGAGAAGATAATATATTCATAAAAAGAACGAACGGTTCCAAGATCCTTGGCTTTCAACCAAATGAAGAGTCTTAAAATGCTGCCCGGATTCAAGGCTTTTCCTTAAGATAAATCTTTGGCAAACAAGCAAACCTGGAAAATCTGATGCACTGATCTGTTGGCCAACTGACCACAAGCAGTGGTTCTCCAGCTTAAGCGTGCACGGGGCCTGTTGAAACACAGGTGGCCTGGGCCTGTACTCAGAGCTTCTGGCCCTCGCAGGTGTGGAGTGGGGCCCGTGAGTCTGTGTTTCTGACAGTGCAAGCGTGCTGTTGCTGCTGGCACGGCAGTGCACGTTGAGAACCGCTGAGCCGGAGCAGTGTCTGGTGGAGGTGGTTGGATGAACCAGTAAATGACAGGCGGACAGGCCGTGCCCCGGCCTCCAGAGCCCTCTGTGTGTACCTGAAGCCCGCTGTCCAGGCCACCTGCCAGGCCTCTGGCAGCCTCAGGGCCCCTCCCCACTCCAGTGTCCCCAGAACAAGGACTGCGCTCTCCTGTGACTAGGGCACGTGGAGGGGTGAGGCCCTCAGGGTCTGCCCGGGTGTTGGGGGTCGTCGGTGGTCCCAAGACTTGAACCTCCGTTTCCTGGCTGCCGGCTGGCAGGGAGGCCCCGGGAGCTGCGGGCACCACACTAGCCCAGCACCTCGCACAGCCCCAGGAGGCGGGGGTCCGCCTCACCACTTTGCCGATGGGAAAGTGGAGCCTCTGAGAGGGGAGGAGCTTCCCTCAGGGTCACGGCTGGGGGTGGAGAAAAGGCTGGTGCCCATCGGGGCCATGCAGAGGAGCAGACCTAGGCCACCTCCACCCCAGAGCCCCACGACTCGGAAGCACGCAGCCTTCCGGAAACACCAAGCGTTGTGTTGGGGCCTCGTGTCCTGGCCAGACCACAGCCTGCAGGAAAGTAGGTCCCATCCCAGACCCCCGGAGCCAGTGGGTGGAGGGCGAGAGGCCCAGAATAGCCGAGGCCAGTGATTACAGGGCTGGGGCGCCCCGCCCACCTCCGCCCCTGCCACTGCACAGAGCAGGAGAGCCGGCGGGCAGGCTGGCCGTAGAGGCGGGTGGAAGGGGAATGCGCTGGTGATCCCTGGCTCCAGCCCCGCCTCCGTGAAGCTGGAGGCCTGGGCTCTGAGGGTAGGGGCTGTCCCCAGAGGGCCACACAGCGGCATCCTGCTACCCCCACTCCCGCCCCTCCACCAGCCTCCAGGTCTCAGGCCTCCCTGCCAAGGGTGCTGTGGAGCAGACAGGCCAGAGGGTTAGATGGGCAGGCCCAGCCTCATGGCCGGGGAGGGGCCTGGGCCAGCCCAGAGCAGCCACAGGCAAAACCGCAGGCGGGCTCTCCTTTGGAAAAGGAAACAAAAATAGGTTATAGAGAGAGAAGGAGAGAGAAGGGGGAGAGGGTGGCGGAAGGAGGGTGGGAGGGACTGAGAGGTGACAGAGACAGAGGCGGCTACACAGGAGGACAGGGACGGAGGCTGGGAGGAGGTGAAACAGACAAGAGCAGGATGTCTGTCGGAAAGAGCTCAAAGCAAACTAGCTGGGTGTGAAGGGGCGGGAAGCAGAGGGGGTGAGCTGCCCGCAATCTGGGGGCGCCCAGGGTCCAGGCCCGGGAGCCGTGCAGCCCCAGACTCACGAGCAGGCCTGGGTCCCGGCCCAGCGGGCCCAGTGGGCCAGCGTGAGGCCCAGCCTGACAGCCCAGTGCCCGCTGCACGTGGGCTGGAGTGTCCTGGGCGGTACAGGAGCCTGCAGGGAGGCCGGGGAGCCGGGCAGGAGGTGCTGGGTGGGCGAGAGCCTGGCACCGTGCCCTTGCTTTGCTCACTGACACACGTACTCCTGGGGGTAGGAACTATTGTTATCCCCACTTGACAGATGGGGAAACTGAGGCTCAAAGACGTAAAGAAAACTGCTGAGGCCTCACAGCAAGTAAGGGCCTTAAGCAGGCCTGACCCCAGGCCACGGCGTGAGTCCCGTCCTTTACTGCCCTGCCCTCAAGGCCCACCCTGCCCTGCACACTACCCGCCCATCCTCACAGCACCGCAGGCCAGGGGGTGGCACGCCGCACAGGGAAGCCAACAAACGGTCCTTGGCCCGCCCACCCTAAGGACAGGCCCTGCGCAGCCGTACCCGGGCCACTGAGGCTGCACCCGTGGGGGAAGCTGTGCTTGGTGACCCCCTGCCCAGGGAGTAGAGGTTACGACGCGGCTTCTGGTTAATAAGTTCTAGCTGGGTCAGTGTCGCAAGAACAGATGGGCGGGAGTAGCGCTGTCTGGCCCATTCGGTCCCCTCGTGACCTGCAGGCCCGGGGCAGGGATATTCCCTCCAGAGATCAAGCCCTTCACAAGAAAAAAGCAATCCTGCCGCTTTTTTTTTTTTTTTTTTAAGTAGCCACCTCTCCACTTGTATTTAAGATTCAGACTCGACACTGAGCTCCGCAGCGCCCAGAACGGAACCCTGCTTGGTCAGATCACTCCCAGTACAGTTGCGTCCCCTCTGCCCGGGACAATCACAGGGTTTATTCCCACCACCGTATGATGGTATAAAGCCCACGTGGCTTCTCGCTGGCTGAAGGCAAGTCCCAGTTCCTTCCAGGGCCTCTCCAGGTGCAGCCCCACCCTTCCCTGCTCACTCACTCACTTAGCTCCAGCCACACTGCCCTCCTGCTGGTCAGTGGACACATTAGGTGCGTCCCCACCTCAGGAGAAACCTCTACACTTTAGGGTCAATCCTTCTCATTCAGATCTCAGCTCAAATGTCCCACCAGAAAGAGGGCCTCTCCAATGAACAGCCTCCCGTTAATTTATTCACAACACTCATTACTGCTGAGATCGTCTGATTTGTGTGGGCTGATGTCTGGTTGCCTCTCTGGAAGGTCAGCTCTGCAAGGAGGGCACTGTCTTGTTTTCTTATAATCCCTGTACCTCAGCTAGTGTCTGCGAGTATTTATTTAAAGACTGATGGCCCCCTTTCTGGCCATGGGGCAATCACCCCAACTCCTAGCCTGTCATTCAAGGCCACTCACCAACCTACAGTACCTTCCTGGCCTCCACTTCACTGCTCCCTCTCCTGAACCCTGAATCCCTTAGCACACCAGGCCATTTCACTCCTCCATGCTTGTCTGTGCCACTCCCTCTGCCTGCAATTCTCTTTCGTTGTTTCCCACCTGGTAAACTCCTATGCAGCCTTCAAAGCCCAACCCAAATACCTCTGCCCTGTACAGTAGAAAGCATAAGCGTTGGGATCTAGACATGGATTTAAATCCTGGCACCCATACTTCCTAGTTGGGTGGCCTTGAGCAAGTCACTTCGTTTCTACTGATCTTAGCGTCTTCCTCTGCAAACGGGGACGACCAGTCCCTACTCTGGAGCCTTCTGTTTTGCCGGCTGACTTTTCCTCTCTGGAGGCCTGGAAGGTGCGTTAGAGCTCTGAACCCTTCGGCAATTCGGGAGAGTGGGCAGCAGTGTGGTGAGCATCTACTGATTGGGCTCCCAGCAGCCACACCCCCTCCTTTTGGTCGCCCACCTGATTCCCCTCCAGACACAAACCTGCTTGTTCCCTCCATGTGGTTCTGATAGGCTCCCCACTCCCGTAGCTGCTGGGTTGGGCATGTTACCAGGTCTGGCCAATCAGAGCATTCCATCCCTTTCTGCCACAGCGATTGGCTCAGAGGTGGGCACCATGTGATCCAATCTAGGCCAATGAGATGCCTCCTTGGGACCCTGGCCGAAACCACGGGTGAAGGCGCTGCCCGCTGGCTGGGGAGCAGGGAATGAGGCCACCACAGAGAAAAGCCAGACCTAGAGATGCAGACGTGGTTCGAGCCGCTGACGGCAGGGCATCTGGCCCAGTGAGTCTGAGACACGGCCCTCTGGGGGCGCCCCGTCTCTGACCCGTCACCTGCTGTGATTCCAGGGCCAGGACAGAAAGGAGTCGGGGGTCCAGTCGGGCACTGGGGCGCCACGGAGCAGGCGTTGAGAGACCTGGCGGGCTGGGGCCTGCGGGGCTCCGGGGGAGGCGGCAGATACAGGGCAGCCGGGGGCAAGCTCGGACGCCTGCCCTGAGGAGCTGCTGCTGAGGCCTTAGGGGCCCTGTCCTCACTGACCCCCCAGCCCTGGCACGTTGGCTCACCAGGAGTCACTGGGCGTTTCTGCATTTATTCTGCATGGGACCAAATCCTGGTGTCTCATTAGAAACGGTGGCTGCCTACGGGGCCCTACACTGCACGACTGCAAGGGCTCCGAGACCGTCGTGGACCGTTGTCCCCTCGGCCTGGGTCCCCAGGTGCTGCTGTGCCCGAGAAGGCAGCGGACGGACAGCGGGGACAGAGCCAGCGTCCCCACCCGAGCCTCCCGGGTCCTTCCCCCTGGAGCCCCTCCAGGAAGGCTGTTGGGGGAGAAGGTCCCTGTTACCCCACATCACGCTCGGACCTCGGCCAGGAAGCGGGGCCCTAAGGGATGGGATATGCCCCAGAGGACAAGGAGGGCAGCAGTCCAGCCCAGAAGGGGGGGGGGCAGGCCCCCTGGGAACAAGCCCCCACACACACACCCAGGGTCCCCTAGAAGTGGGCAGAGCCCCAGCCTGGCTCTGAGAGAAACACCCCTGATCGCCAACCTCAGGAAAGGTGCTCAACCCTGTGAACCCGGAAGGGGGTGGAGGTCAGGACGGGGTGGGGTAGGGCGGGCTGCAGCACTTCCCAGCAAGGCCCCTGTGGACCAGCAGGGGTGGGGAGCTAAAGCAGCAGCATCACGGCTCCCCCTGGGTGTGCCTCTGGGGACAGAGGGGACAGACTGCAGATCTGGGTTTTTGAACCAAACCCTGGGAGGGCAGGTTGTCAGCAAGTTCTGTCCCCAGCCCAGATTGACGCCGGCACAAGCAAATACGTGGTCAAGGGCATCACACAGAAGCAGTCACCCCACCAGGTAAGCCACAGGGGAAGCCAAGGGTGGGCGGGCAGGGGGGACAGTGGGCCTGTCAGTGGGGCTGGGGCAAGGGTAGGGCGCTGACGGCAGCAGTGCCCCAGGCAGCTGCCCCACCTCCTCTGGCATCTTGCTCATCCCCAGAACCCTGGCCACTAGGTCAGCATTGGCCTGACAGGCACCAGTTGGGCTGCTCCAGACCTCCCCACTAGAAAAGGGGCAGCGGAGCCCGCTTCGGGGGTCTCCGGCCCACCTTGTGGCAACTTCTGCTGCTTTGGAGACTCACCTGCCTGGAGGAGGGGGCTGCAGTCCCTCCTGGGCCCTGGAGCCCTATCCTCCTGCCACAAGCCACGTGCTCCACCCCCTTCCAACTCGGGCTACACTGCCGGGACACACTCGGAGATGCCGCAGGCCCACCATTAGCACAGCCTCACTGGCTCCTGGGGTCAGGGGCTTCAGCTCAGGACTTGGGGGCAGAAGAGCCAGCAGGGTAGGCTGGCTTGATTAGCCCTTGCTTGTCCAGGCCACCCTCACAGCTCTGATGGCTGGCAGCAGGCCATGGGGAAAGGTCTGAGAGTGCAGAAGGGAACAGAGAGGGGCTCTGGGAAGGCCCCTCCCCGCCTGGGGGCGCTGGAAGCAGGGTTGCAGAAGGGTCTGCCAGGCCGGACGCAGTGAGGCCCGCCTGCTGGGGGAGAGGGTCATGGCCAAGGGTATTCATGAGGCAGGTTCGGCTGAGGTGGGGAACGGCCTGAGCAAAGGCTAGGAAGGGGGCACGGGAGGCACCCTCCTACCCTGCAGGAGAGGGAGGAGGTCAGAAGGAAGAAAGTGCAGGCCCTCTCTCCCCCCACACCCGAGCCTGAGCCCTGGGGGCCAGGAGCCACTGTGCCCTGCCCGGCCCTAGGTCCTGGTAAACATTTGTCCAAGAAAGAGTGGGTGGCCAGTGTCATGACCGCAGACACTAGGACTACAGCCCACGCGGTGCGGGGGGACGCTCGGCTCAGCTAGGGCATGGGAACCCCCTCCCCAGGAGGCAGGAGCACCACCCCCATGGCCCCCCAGCTCTCAGAACTGGTCAGGGGACGGAAAGACTGACTGCAGCTCCCTCCCGTGGGCCTGGGGAGGCGGCCAGGTCTGGGCAGCTGTGTCCAGACATGGAGGGGACGGTGTGAAGAGCAGGGTGACTGGGCAGAGCCCTGGGGAGCACCGAGGAGGCCTCCCAAGCCCAGCTCTCCTGGACCCCAGCCCAGAGGCAGTCACAGAGGTTTGAGGTGAGGAGAAGGGAGCCCCTCACCCCAGGATGCAGGGGGCACCAGGCCACCCATGTGACCTCTGGCTTGATGAAGAGGCTGGGAGCCACTTCGCTCCCATTTAACTGCACTTCCCCAGAGACCCTGTAAGGAGGAACTCGAGCAGCCCATTTTATAGATGGGAGTACTGAGGCCCTGGGCAGGGGGGTGGGGATAGGTCACCCAGATCCAGCCAGGTGGGTACATGCTGCCCCCAAAGTCTCCTCAGCCTCATCTCTTGAGCCACCCTGACCCCACACTCCCATGGTCCCCTCCCACCTGGGGACACGGTTACTTCCTCCCTGGACCCCCTCTGCAAGGCTCCAAAGGCGTGATTCCAAGGATTCTTGCAGAGCCCACGGGGGGTGGGGGAGGAGATACAGATTCCCCCAACACACACTCTCACATTCACTCAGCTCACACCAGGAAAAGGCAAACAGAGCAGAGGTCAGAACGGGCCTCTGGCTGGGCACCTCCAGCCCCAGGCCGCCCACGGGCCCCTCGGCCTCTCCCGTGAGTGAAGACTCAGCACATGCCCGGCTCGGGGCTGGAAATCCGCACGGCGGTCATGACTGGCTGCCTGTTTCCCCCACCGGACCATGAGGTGGGTGCTCAGGACCCTAGTCCTTCCCGGTGCGAACTTAAGGCGGAGCAGGCGCGCCAGGGCGCAGCGCGGTGCGCGGAGGGGCCACCTCCGGACCCGCCGTGTCAAGCCCGCCGCCCTTGCGCGGCCGCGGACCCGGAGGGGTTTCCGGGCGCTAAGCGGAGTGGGCGCGAGGCAAAGGAGGCAAACTTTCCGGGTGGGCCTAATGCCCTCCGCCGCCCACCACTCACCTGGTCCCTGGGCCCCGGCTGGGAGGCCCGACTGTCACCTCTCACCTCTCCGGGCCTTGGGAGACCCACTCCCGAGGGGACAAGACCCTTGCGGGGAGCCGGGACAAGGGCGGGGCGTTTAGAGCCTTTCTGAGCCCGCCCGCCCCAGTGCCCCAGCCCGGGAGGAAACCGTAGGTGCCCCCGCCCGGTCGGGGGTCCGGCCGCTGGTGGGGCGGCCCTGGGGCCGGCGGGCACTCACCCGGGCGCAGGAGCAGGAGCGCGGCGCCCAGACACGCGGCCACCAGCGCGCGCCGCCGCCACAAGCGCCTCCCCATGCTTGCCCGGCGCGCGCTGCTGTCCGCGGGGTCCGGCCCGGCCCGCACCCGAAGCCGGCCTCCCGCCCCGCCCCGCCCCTGGACCCGCCCACGGACGAGTCCTCGGACCAGGACCCGAAGCCCGCCCCAGGGCAACTCGCCCCAGGCCCTCCCGCTGACCCGCCGACGGACGAGTCCTCGGACCGGACCTGAAACCCGACCCCCAACCCACCCCAGGGCCGCCCAGGGACTGGTCCTCGCTCCTGGATCCGGACCAGGGACCGCTTCGGGACCCTCCCGGCGGCGCGCACCACTGCTCTCGGCGCGGGGGCGGGGGCGAGGGCTCTGCTCGCCAGGGGCGGGGTGGGGGGGGGGGCGAGGCGGCGACTGCTGGGGACCAGGCAGGTGGGCGAGGCGGATCGGTGGACCAGTCTGCCCGGCCCCCACCCAGTTCAGCGGGGCAGCCGAGCAGTGGTCCAGGGCGCGAAGGGTGGAGACTGGGTGGAGGGAGCCCTGTCGCCGGCGCGGCTCTGTCCTCTTCCGCTCGTCCGGGGGCGCCATCCTCTACCCGAGGCCGAGAAGCCTTGTCACATTGGCGGATGAGCGGGGCGGGGGAGCACGGTGTCCCGTTGCCTTTTTGCTGCGTTACGTACCAGGGGTCCAGGGGCTGGCTTGGGGCACTAGCCGCCTATACGTGACTCCCCCGGAACCCCCCTTCCCGGAATCAGGCCCAAGGGTGTCTCTTTCTCCTCCCAAGCCCACCCTGTAGCCTTGTTTTTACACGGTGGTCTGTGTGCTGGTGTGTGTGCTTGAGCCAACACTGAACAGTGTGAGTGTGTGGGAAAGGCTGCGTTTCTGAACTGCTTTTGAAGAATCTGGTGATTCCAACCCTGGTGGTGCCACTTACGTGCTGTGTGAGATCAAGAAAGTGGCCTAACCTCTCTGTGCCCCAGTTCCCTTTGCAGTGGGATAGTACTAGGACACACCTCATCATGTTGTGGGAACTAAATGAGACACAGGAGATGTTTGGCACGGCGTCTGGCACTCAATGAGTGCCATCTAAGTACTTGACGTTGATGATTATTTTATTTTTACAGTTACTGTCTGTTTCTGGCAGGTGACTCTGGTTTCTGTTAAGGTGCTGATATAAAAATTCGTTCCCGTTATGTGTAAGTTTTAAAGGTCTATTTAAAGGAGAATATTAAATAAATAATAGTTCTGCTGTCTTAAAGATATGGCTCCAAATGCTATGATAGGTCTCAAATGGCAGAGGGGCAGGAAACAGTTCACAGACAAACCAGAAGCTCCTTATTATGACTTTCCAGACAAACGGGACAGAGAGCCTTGGCGAGCATCCAGTTCACGCCCAGGATGGCCTGCGGGCAGGGCTGCTGCTGCTCTGGGCCCAGGACCTGGATTCCCGGTTATCTACACCCCCAGCCGGCCCCCAATCTCCCCTACACCTGCATTGGGACCAGCGTTCTCTGTAGGGTCCCAGCCCCTGGCGTCCTTAGGAAGGAGTCTCGGTCCCTGTGCTGCCACCTGGTGGCCAAAGTTGAGGACAACATCTCAGCCCATTCCCATCCGGGAAAGTCCCTGGAGGCCCCTGGGGGCCCAGTGTTGCGTCCTGGGGTGGGAGGGTGAGCACGCCTCGCCAGAGGCCCAGGGCCTTGACAGCTCCCCTGAGAAGACGCCAGCTGCGGCCTCTGCCCTCTCACGGGAGTTCGCATGCATTCAATCCCTCGTTCAACACGCACTGGGTACCCATTGGGTGCTGAGGCCCTAGGGGAGAACAGGACAGGGCGCTCTCTGCCCTCGTGGGCTACAGTATGGATGGGGGAGGGCATAGGAAAAGGGGCGAACATGTGCGATCACGGCAGGTGGTAAACGTGCTATGAAGAAAATAAGGGTGGGGCAGAGGGAGGTGTGCAGGGCCAGCCTCGGAGGTGCCAGCAGCAGAGGTGGCAAGCTGCAGAAGGAACAGCCCTTGCGGAGGCCCTGAGGCGCCCTGCTAGTAGCTGTTGCCCTCAAATTTAGGCGTTAAACATTTCAATTTCGCTCACAATTTAGTGGGTGAGGAATTGGGGAAGGGGCTCCGGTGGGTGCTTTTCACTGGGGATCTCACGCTACCGTGTCAGACGGCAGCTGGGACTGGTCGTCTGGAGGCCGGCCCAGGCTGGCCGACCCGACGGCTCCGTCACAGCTGGGCAGACACCGCAGCACTCGCACTCCTCACACCCCAAGTGGGGTCTGGTTCCGGGGGTTGCTCCCACAGAGCCTCAGGCTGCCTCCTGTTGCTTCCCCGGGAACCGCTAGGGCCGCCCCAGCCTCACTCAGAGAAGCACCCAAGCAGGGATCTGCCGGCATGTTTAAAACCACCAAGGGCGTAAAGATGCACATGCTCCTTGAACGGGAAGCAGCAAGGGGGCTCTGAGGTGGACAAGGCGGAGCAGATAGGGCGTCCACGTCCCCAGCCCGTCGTGGGCCACGGTGTGGGCTGTTCTAACTGCCCCGCTGCCGATGGACTGCAGGTTGGCGGGAGGAGGGGGGAAGGCGGGAGGCTGGGCCGACTCTGGGAGAGGTGAGGGGTGTGGACCAGGCTGCGGTGGTCTCAGGGCCCCGGCTATACTTTGAAAGTAGAGGGGTCAGAGGTCAGGGTGCCTCAGAGAAGCCACCCAGGGCGGCAGAGTGGCTGGAGGGGAAGCAGGCACTAGGTTGATGGGCCAAGGGACAGAGGTCCTGCCTGGCTCGAGAAGGCCTGATGGGCCTGCTGGTGACACGGCAGAGATTGGGGCCCGGTGTGGCCTGCGTGGTGGTACCAGGCGGGCAGGGCTGGGCTTTCGGTGCTGGTCGCCAGGTGCTAGGAAGAGAGGCTGGCCAGGACAGGAGTAGCAGCTGGGAGTGACGGGAGGGGAGACTGAGGCAGGCACTCGACGCTGAAGAGGACAGGCCACGACCAGCACCAGGAGCCCAAGGCCTGAGGCCCAGGGAGGCACATGCTGAGGGCCTGCCTGCCTTTCTTTACTCCTTGTTAGTTTTACATTTTATTTATTTGGTTTGTCCATGGAGCAAAATTCAAAAACTCCACAGTTCTCTTGAATTGAAGTGAAATTCAGGTACCATAAAATTACTCATTGAAAAGTGTACAATTTAGTGCCCTGACAATGTGGAAAGCACCAGTCTTACAGGGAAGGGTCTCCTTTCCTCCTGCTCTCTCCCAGCTCCTTGTGGATGCTTCAGAGGCAGCTCACGCCCAGGTGTACGCGTTTTCTTTGCTTTCTGCGCCGTTACATTGCTCTGCTCCTTGCTTTTTTAATAGTGGCAACAATTAGAAAAATGACATGTTACCCGGCGCTGATTCTGTGCAGGTGCTGTTCTAAGACCTTCACGTGTGTTACCTCGTTTAATACTCAGACAGATCCCATGAGGTAGCTACTGTTACTGGTTTCATTTTACAGACCGGGAAACTGAGGCACAGAGAGGCTAAGGAACTGACCCAAGGACCTACAGCTCATGAGTGGTATAGCCGGATTCCACTTACCTGTCTGCCATATTTAACATCTGTGAGATCCCAGTGCTTTTAAATAGCTTTTAGGGTGTTTAAAAATTAAACTGTTTATTTGGGGATCCTTGTAGATTCACGTGCAGTTGTAAGAAATAATGAGAGACCCGGGTGCCCTGTTCCCCCGTGGTAGCGTCCTGCTGTCTGTAGCCCGAGGTCACAACCAGGACACGGATACAGTCCCCCCTTTGGTTCAGGACAGCGGAAAATGTTTTTAATTGGTTGCAAACATTTAAAAATGAGATTTCACAAAAAGTGTTAGATTTGTGGCTTCTCTTGAGGCCTCGCCCAGAAGCAAATCCTGAGTGGAGGTCTCGGTACAGCCTGTCTGTTGGGGGCATGGGATGGGGATACCCGCGGGTCAGCTCAGCCCACTCCTGCCAGGGGCTCCCCAGAGCTGCTGCCTCCACCCATGCCCTGCTGGGGCGAGGGCGCTGGGGTATTGGCCCACTGCTGTTGCTGGCGGGGAGCTGCTCCCCAGCAGATGGGGAGGGGGCTGGCAATTCTCCAGCCCTTCCAGCCCCCCTCTGAGCGGGAGGTGCAGGTACCGGCTGCTGGCGGTCACAGCTGCGTGACCTGCAGGCCCAGGCAGGGGCCTGTCCCCAGTGCCCGTAGTGGTGCCGGGCCAGGACACTGCCCGGTCCCTGATGTTGGAGAGAGCGTTGGATGGACGGCTGCGAGCCTGCGTGCGTGTCTGCTGCTCACCCGCCGAGGCAGCCTCCCCGCCACCTGGACACAAGAGTACGCTCGCTGCCCGGCCGGAGATCTGGGAGGCCGAGGGGCGGCTGGAGCCAGACCCCTCGGCTCCAGGGGCCCAGATCCCAGCTCCACCAGGACTAGCTGTGTGGCCTTGGGCAGTTTCCACACCTATGAAACGGGACAGGGTGCCCCGGATGACGTGCGGTGCTCCGAGGAGTAAACACCCGGAGGCGTCAGCCGTCCTGCTCTCGTGCCAAGTGCAGGCCCCACGCCGGGCACTCACCTGGTGGCTGCGCGCCTCCCACCCCTTGCGTGGGGCCGCAGGGCTGGCCCGCAGCTGAGCTGGGTCCACAGCCAGGTGTGCTGCCTCCCCGGGCCCCCGGGATTCTAGCGGCCCCTGGGCCTCAGCCACCCCACCCGGAGTGCGGGGCGAAGAAGCAGCACCTTCCCACAGGGCGCTCGTGGGATGGGGCTCGCTGAGAGCCTGGGAAGGAGTGGGGCGGCCCGCACCTCAGTGGGGGCTGAGGAGGGTGTGGCTCCCCCTGGCCGGGCTCCCGCCACCCCTGTCACCCAGGGGGCAGGGAGGAAGGATACGAGGGCCACCACACTCTGTGCCGGGCCAGTGTCACGGGCCCCCCATCATCAAGACACAAACCCCACGTCGCCTGCCTG